AAAAAGTTTTTACTTCGAAGGGAAGATGTTTGGGATCTTCAGTTCTATGTGACAGTGGCGTAAGTTTCTTATATCTGATTTCTTGGTGCATGGTAAGAAGACCATTAATGGCATTGATTAGTTGAAGGGAGGCAATTCCTTATGTTTTCCTTGTATTGACATGTTCCCTATATAAATGTACAATGATAAAGGAATCTAAGTGATTCAACGTATGCAAGAACACCAAATAACAAAAGCATTTGTTAGACACTCTTCTACCTGAACAACAATATGAATGAAAGCATAATGATTGATAGACATCCTAACAGTATTTCGTGATGAAACTTGATGTGTTTATTTATTGCAGATTTTCCTTCAATCCATACAGTGTAGCTACATGCCTGGCAAAGTCCACTGCTGTGTTCAACAACATTGTAATCCTTCTTGCCCTCTATTATATGTTAAAAGGTCAGTAACATGTACTGTAAAATGAGAATATTTGGCACACAATTAATTTTAGCCCCTGAACGCTAAAATTTATTGTGCGCTAACAGATTTCTAAATATTATTTTTTTTCTGTGTTCAAAGCTTTCACATAAGTACATGGAAACCGGAACGCGCGATTACATAATGTCGTTAGGTCATTGGATTTTATGCACACACAAGCACTGTACATGGTAGGATCGATCGAGAAAGTTCTGCCAAATTATAATTTAATTACACTATTGTTAGTTGTTACCCGATACTTATCATTAGCACCTTCAAAGTTTGGCTTCTCTGCGTGTCAATCATCTATCGCCTCGAGGTAAACAATGCAATCAAGCATGGCAATTGAGCTTGCAGACAATACCTGATTATGATTACCGTTTATCCATAACTTTCATCCAATGCATGCATTGTTTTAAAATAAATAAAATGTGTAAATACTCTATTTCTTTATCGAAAATGAAATTGAAATAAAATTTAACATTGTGCCACGTCCATATGATTTCAACACCACAGTAAAGTTGACGAATGGTTACTTATATACGGAAGTGCTGTCGTGCATTTTCCGTGCTTGACTAACCAAAAGTCAAGTCCGGGCGTGAATAAAAAGAAACAATATCACATTTAAATATTTTAATGACAAGTGCAAATGCTAAAATTTATATGAGCCAATGCATTTCCACTTGCATTTGGGCTAAAATACGTATGCTCCAAATTTTCTCGTTTTACAGTATTCATATTCAGGACCTTTATGTAGTCCCATTAATAGATACAGTCTGATGATCTGCGCCTGTCAAGGAGACGTGATACGGCTCTTCAAATGCACTTATCTTCGTTTTCTTAATAATTCCAATTTATTCTAAAGTTTTTACTCAAACACCTTGGTTATATCTAAGTGATTTAAATGTCCTAACTCCTTTGTTCTTGAAGTATTTTAATATCCTGGATATCCCAAATCCTGGGATATCTTGAATTTTTTTCTCAGTCCCATTGACTTCAAGTTATCAAAAGTTGTCTGTAATAGCATCCATTATTAAATTAGTATGCAGGTAGTTTTGCATTACTTAAAATGACTTTGACAGTTCTCATTGGAAAATTTTTGTTAGTAATCTTCAAATACATGTTCACATATTTCTTTCAGGTAATCCCATAATATCTGCAGTTTTTGTTGCTTTGGCTGCATACATCTCCATGTATCCCATAATTCTCTGTGTGCCTGTTGCAGTATATTCAATGTTGGTTGGTACCTAAGTTGTTCAATTTTGTCACAAGCCATAATGCACTCCAGGATTTGGTGTGGATCAAAACCCATGGCATGCGACAATATATTCATAAAAGCAAGAAAAATGCATAGAATGATTTCAGTAAATTTACAGTGTGTTATAACTTTGTAGATCAGTTTAATGTCTAATAAAAGGTAATTAAAACAAATGAACACCTTTAATGTCATGTGGGTTAGATTACAGTGCTTGTCTTTTTCAGATGTCAAGAAAAGGAAAGATAAGCTTCACAGATTCAGCAGCTGTTATGGGATATCTCCAGATAGTGTGTATCACGTTTATAGCAGTGGCTCTGATGTTACTCTTCTCCATGTTGTTTGTGGGATCATGGGAATTTATACCGTCCACATATGGTTTCATGTAAGCAGCATTCTTTAAATAAATATAATATTATGAAACAGGAAGGTTTCTTTATATAATCAAAGGAACTTGGCAGCAAATAGATAAATAAGAAGAGAGTGATAGGGAAATGCAAAATCATTTTTCTTCATTACCAACATTAAACATGTAGCTGAATGTCTATTTTTTATATAAATGTACACCCTTGTAGTGCAGTTATAAAAGTATGTGTTTTTTTTTAAAGTGTTCATTTAAATATGAATATTTGCAATATTGGAGTTCTACTTTATATGAAATGATTCTTCCACGTGAATTTCAGACTGGGTGTTCCTGATCTAACCCCAAACCTGGGACTTTTCTGGTACTTCTTCACTGAGATGTTTGAGCATTTTAGGACATTCTTCATCTGTGTTTTTCAAATAAATGCTGTGATATACACCATTCCACTTGCAATTAGACTAAGGTAAAAAGAAAATGCTCAACAAAACTTATTTTAAGAAGGAGTAATCTTATTAAAAAAAATAGTGTGAAAATGATGTACATGTGTTCCTCAAAGAGGTATACTGTAATTTAAAAACAAAAGTCTGAAATTAGAAAACAATTTTTACATGCACTTTGTCCTTAAACCACATAAACATTCTAGAAATATGTTCTTGTGTGCATCTAGAATTATGAAGACAATGTGTTTAAATAATATATCTGCTGTATTCAATACAAAGTGTTACACATGCATTGTATTTTAGAGAACACCCCACCTTCCTGTTCTACACACTGCTGTACACCATTGGGATCTTCAAGTCCTACCCAGGCTACGGAGATGTGGGTCTCGTAATTGCCTTACTGCCTTTATGGAAACATGTTTTTAAATGTATGTTACCTTTCAAGTTGCATGTACATGTATTTATATTTTGCTCAGATAAAAAATGAAAACAACTAACGGTAATAATAATTCAAAAGTGCAATGGTATTATAATTGCAACATTCTTTTTGAAGTGAACAGAGAAAGTTTGTATGTAATTTAATTTAAACAATATTTTATTATGAATAAACATATAGGATTGGATTGGACAGCAGGCACTGCCTATACTATAAGTCCTCTCCATCAAGTTTGTATATACTGGCATTTCCTGATGTTAATTTTTTTTGGTTTTTACAGATATGAGGAATACTTTTGTGACAGTCTGTATGTTCCTAGTCACCACAGTGTTTGCACCTATACAGTATTACCTATGGATCTATGCTGGAAGTGCTAATGCAAACTTTTACTTTGCCATATCTCTTGCATTTTCTACAGCACAGGTAAAGTGGTTGCATGAATTATGTTGATCCATTAAATTGATAAACAATAAAACATGCATATGCACATTTAAGCTTTTTAGCTTACCTGAGCCGAAGGCTCACGTGAGCTTTTCTGATCACATTTTGTCCGGCATCCGTCAGTCCGACTGTCTAGCTGTCCATCTGTCTGTAAACACATTTTTGACTTCTTCTCAAGAACCACTGGGCCAATTTCAACCAAACTTGCCACAAAGCATCCTTGGGTGAAGGGGATTCAAGTTTGTTCAAATCAAGGGCCACGCCCTCATTCAATTTGGTGGTATTCTTTAAAAATCTTCTTTTCAAGAACCACTGTGCCAGGAAAGATGAAAATTATGGGAAAACATCATCAGGTAGTGTAGATTCAAGTTTGTTCAAATCATGACCCTCGGGGTAGGGCGGGGCCACAATGGCCGACCAAAGTTTTACATAGAAATATATAGGAAATTTTTTAAAAAATCTTCTTCTCAAGAATAGCAAAGCCATAATTGATCATATTTATATGGAAGCATCCTCAGGTAGTGTAGATTCAAGTTTGTTCAAATTATGACCCCCGGGGGTAGGGCGGGGCCACAATGGCCGACCAAATTTTTACATAGAAATATATAGGAAAATTTTTTTAAAATCTTCTTCTCTAGAATAGCAAAGCCATAATTGATCATATTTATATGGAAGCATCCTCAGGTAGTGTAGATTCAAATTTGTTCAAATCATGACCCCCAGGGGTAAGACGGGGCCACAATGGCCGACCAAAGTTTTACTACTTTTGGATTTAAACTTTTCAATAATAAACTAATTTGTACTTTTTCCTAGCCACAGTGCTCAGGTGAGCAATGTGGCCCATGGGTCTCTTGTGATTATTTTGATTTTCCAATAATGACATATCTTCATCAAATCACACCTCCTCATAAAGGGTCATTACTAAACCTGGCTCTAGGGTCATAAAACTTTAATTGAACTCACATTTGAACTATGTCTCACTATTCCATTATGAATTCCTTTTGTAAAAGAGAGACTGAGATAAAAGGTGAGCTTGTCTGAATTTTATGGCTCTAAGTCTTGTGAGAATTAGAATCCCACATGCTCATGTATGTACTGTATGTCACTGATTAAAGTTCTATTATCAGGATAAAATATTAATCCTTTAGAGAGAAAAATAACTGCATGTTCTCACAAGGAAAAAAAAAGTTTAAATAATTTTACCATTGACCAATGAATATCAATTTTTGCTGTTTTAATAGATTTTGATGGCTACTGATCTGCTGTTTGCCTTCCTGAAGAGGGAATTTTATCTCCTCAACGGAGACAAGCACAAGCTTTCTGATGGGACAGATGCCCAGATCATCTTAGACTCATAAACCAAGAATTCAAATAACAGAACAGACTAGTGCAATTTCTTTCTATTGTGTTTGTATATGTTTTTGAAACTCATTTCTCTCTTTTTTTTAAGCTTGTTCACAATAGAGACCATTTTTGTTCTACATATTTTTATACAAATATAAGTTATGCTGTTAAAACATCGACATCTCTATGAATCTTACAAATAAAAATGTATGAATAAGAATATGTTATGTTTGTCACAACTTTTTTCATAAATAAATATTACTCTCCAGAAAGTGTGCAACACAAAACAAAACAAAAAGAATGGTAAAAAGATTCAAAGGAACTGAATAGAAATGTGGTTGTTCTGGCTAAATATTAGCCAGCATCTTCATCAGGACAGACTTTTTTATTTCTTTCACCGGCATGAGTGTCACATTTTCTTTTTGCAGACTGAGACATATCAGAGTTCTTCCCCTTGTCACAGTTTTCCTGATTTCCATTGTCAATGTTGATCAAGTTTTTATCAATTTTAAGCCCTAGCCACTGAACTCGACATTTTTCTAACTGTTCTGAGGGCTCTTCTACGCGGCCGTCAACAATATCCAGCACTGTGGTTGCCACGGCAGCAGACGCCTGCTCTGCCAGCTGTTTGGACTTCTCCCAGTAAGGGGTCGTGAACTCATTGTTGTTCAGATGAAGCACACAGTTAAAGTTCCTATCCACAGCTCTCTCAGTCTGGAAAAAAATTGATTGGAAAAACATGAACATAGTGAGTAATCTAGTTAGAAATATCTTCCTAGTAAATCAGACATTACATTAAACACATATATTTATCTGCATGTTTTTCCCTGACAGTTGTAGAATACTTACAGTAATATATACTGGCTTGTTGATGTTTTTGGATTTGGTCCACTCAAACAGTTTAAGTTTGGGGCTTATTTTGATGGAGAAATCCTTCCTAAAGAAAAAAGAAAAGTTTTAAATGAAGAATGTGTGCATGTACCACTGTTGTTGCAAGTCGGAAAATGCTCGTTTAGTCTTGAAAGTTAACAGCTATTTGTCATTAAGTTCTAGCCATCTGGGTCTTGTTGTCATTTAGCAAATAGAGTAGCCAACATTTTTTAATTACTTAATTGCAAAACTTAAGCATATACACCTGCGATTCAAGTACAAAAGAAGTTTATAATTCAATGTTTAAAAAAGAAATATTTTGGAAAAAAAACTTTTCATTTTCAAACATACTTTTCAAACCGTAGTGGCATACATATCCTGTATCCCCCGTCATCCTTTGTCACAACAGAAACCTTCCCATCTTCTGACTGTTCTTCATCAGATTGTTTTCTGGTCAAATTATTTCTGACCTTTAAGAAATATTCCTTCAATCCCCAGATCTCACTGAAAAAAAAATTAAGGTTACTCTCATGTCAAATTTAAATGTACTGGTTAAAAAACAGAACAAATATGTATCCAATTAATTTAATATTAGAAAGCTAAAATTTCAATCAAGGCACAAGACCCGAGGGCCTCAATGTTCACCTGAGTCACTTTGGCTCAATTGTTAAAAAAATTGTTTTCAAAAATATTTGTTTTCCCTCTTCATTCTGATCCTTGAATCGTTGCTTGAATCCACACAACATGGAGTTTCTGAATATTACGACTAATTTGACCTTAGTGTTTGGAAGGAATAATCAAATTCCAATTAACATGAACTAAATCATCAAAAAACCATTATAATATATTAGGTTTCCACTGAATGACATTGGAGACAGTCTGCAATGTCATTTAGTGGAAATCTGATCAGACAGAAGAGTGGACATGCATTTTTCAAAGCTTTACTCTGAATCAAGTAAGTACCGGTAGATGATGTTGAATGCTTTTCGGGGGCATGTAGATGTTACGTATTGTTTTCATTACGGCTTTCTCCTTAGAGTCTAAAAATGAATGATAAGTGACATAACTCATCTAAATATTAGTAGAGATTGAAGGTATTTGTTTTTGAAAGTTTCCTTCTGTACTGAAAACAGGAAGGCCAAAATATAATGATTGTTAAATTCAGATGAGGGTTAAGTTATGAATAATATTCACATCAGTCTTGATGTATTCTTCATTTCTTTAACTTTTCTTATGAGGACCAATTTTTTAATTTGATCTAGAAATTAGAAAGACAGTAATTATTTTTTGCATCCCTCAACAGCTGTTTGTATGTGTATTTGAAAATCAAAGAAATTGACTAAGAGTTTTGTGCACAAGTTCCCGTATCTTAAAAGAGAATGATCATGATGGTAACAAAAATTTAAAGTTTATTTTCATCAAGAAGTCAAGTTAAATGTTAAAACTCAACATCTTAATTCTATACATCTCACCTGATTTCCTCCATGCTCATTGCTGCCTGAGTTAGTTCCCCTTCTGGGAAGTCCAGCATATTGTCATGCATCATCTGTAGAACACAGTACTTAGTGTTCACCCAGTTATTGTCCCAGTCAATGGCCTATAATTAGATCATAAACAGTGGTGCTTCACTGATCAGTTCTACACAATACAGGTAAAATTTTGGTCTATTTATATCTGTACACTTGCCTGCCATTTAATCCCCATTTGTCTTTATTTTGAACAATCAATGTGTTTCAGCTTACAAAACTAATAAAGATGTACTAAATCATTGTCAAATCAGTACAATTTTTATTTCAGATATGGTCTTCTTTTGCAATAAATGTGTACTATAGTATTGTACTATATATGTAGTGAACTATCATATCCATCAACTACTTTTCTCTGTTTGGACTTTAGAAAAGATTTATGAAATAGACAAGCCTCCTCACCACTTTGACATACTCTTTGACAATTTCTAGAAGTGGAAGTTTTCCTTCTGGCCGGAATATTGTAGGATTCCACTCAGCAGCTCTAGCTATCATAACAGAGGAACAGCCACTAGCATGCTTAAACACAGCAATGTCTTCATACACCTTTATCTCCTTAGATCCACCACTAGAAAAGTAAATACCAGTGCTGCATTGTCATTCAGAATTTATTTCTCCCTTCCTACTCTTACAACAAAATAATTTTAATTTCATGAACAAGAGGCCCATGGGCCACAACGCTCACCTGAGCACTGTGACTAGAAAAAAATAGTTATTGGTTTATTATTGAAAAGTTTAAATCCAAAAGTAGTCCCATGATCAATCATGTATTTGCTATTCTTGAGAAGATGATTTTTAAAGAATTTTCCTATATATTTCTATGTTAAACTTTGGTCAGCCATTGTGGCCCCATCCTACCCCCGGGGTCATGATTTGAACAAACTTGAGTCTACACTACCTGCGGATGCTTCCATATAAATATGATCCATTATGGCTTTGCCATTCTTGAGAAGAAGAATTTTAAAAAGTTTTTCCTATACATTTCTATGAAAAAATTGGTTGGCCATTGTGGCCCCGCCCTACCGCAAGGGTTCATGATTTGAACAAACTTGAATCTACACTACCTGAGGATGCTTCCATATAAATATGATCCATTATGGTTATGCTATTCTTGAGAAGATGATTTTTAAAGAATTTTCCTATATATTTCTATGTAAAACTTTGGTTGGCCATTTTGGCCCCGCCCTACCCCCAGGGATCATGATTTGAACAAGCTTGAATCTACACTACCTCAGGATGCTTCCATACAAATATGATGATTTATGGCTTTGCAATTCTTAAGAAAAAGATTTTTAAAGCATCTTCATATATATTTCTATCTAAAACTTTGGTTGGCCATTTTGGCCCCGCCCTACCCCCGGGGGTCATGATTTGAACAAACTTTAATCTACATTACCTAAGGATGCTTCCGTATAAATATGATGAATTATGGCTTTGTCATTCTTGGAAAGAAGATTTTTAAAGAATTTTTTCTTATACATTTTTATGTAAAACTTTCGTCGGCCATTTTGGTCCCGCCCTACCCCCGGGGGTCATGATTTGAACAAACTTGAATCTACACTACCTGAGGATGCTTCCCCATTACTTTCATCTTTCATGGCACAGTGGTTCTTGAGAAGAAGATTTTTAAAACATGCCACCAAATTTTCATTAATTCCCAATTATCTCCCCTTGAATGAGGGCGTGGCCCTTCATTTGAACAAACTTGAATCCCCTTTACCCAAGGATGCTTTGTGGCAAGTTTGGTTGAAATTGGCTCAGCGGTTCTTGAGAAGAGGTCGAAAATGTGAAAAGTTTACAGACGGACAGATAGACAGCTAGACAGACAGACAGACGGACGCCGGACAAAATGTGATCCGACAGAAAAGCTCACTTGAGCCTTTGGCTCAGGTGAGCTAAAAACTATGACAGCTTTAAAAATATTTAATGATTGATTTTTTTTTTTAAAGTCACTTGCCCACGGGCAAGTGCTTTTTAAAATTCATTTGCCCTCCTCTAAAATTCACTAGCCCAGGGCATCGGGCAATGGGATTTGTCAGTCCTTAGCAATGACTGGTATAGAGAGTGTCTCTGATTTAGTCTTGATTAAAACATTGCTGTGATGTCATTCCTTTGTTCTTGTAGTCTAAAAATTTACCTGTGGCAGTCTAATATTAGTGAGCAGTCTGATATTAATCGTAATATCAGACTGTCTCAGTACTGATATCCTTCAAAATTGGACTGCTACTGCACAAAGGAAATGAAAACTGTGATTATTTAACCAAGAGTAACTTAAATTCCTCACATCCAATGATAATTTTGAAACACTGAATTTTCAGAATTGCAAAATTTAAAAAAAAAACTTTTAATTACACAGAATATACTGCAACAGAAAAGGGAACATGCGGCACACCAGAACATGCAAAAAAAGGGGGGTAAAACTTCTAATAGAATTATTAAACTTTAAGAAATGTTGTAAAAGAGTAGGTGCACTGGTGTTCAGCAGAGAATCACAGAAACTTTAAACCCCAAAAATAAATTCAAAATAGAACACAAACTTTAGACACTATAAAGAACAATATTCAAACAATTTGTTATTATTTTCCTTAAGAGAGAAAAATACCTTTGCAAAATGAAGGTAGCTAGGCCAAGTTTATGATAATTAATGCTTATATTGTCAGATTCGCAACAAATTTTGGAAGAAATTTGAGAATTTCAACATTTCCCTCAAAACCCACGGATTATTGACTTTGTTTTTTCTGTAATTGAGCATCAAAAACAAAGGTACATAAAGACACTAACATAAAAAAAATGAAATGGACTAATGTACATGTACCTTCAGCATCTGCTTAATTTTCTGTGGTTATATTTCATATCTCCTTTTTCCATTCCATTCCAAATTTATCATTCACTAGATTGTCTGTATGATAATTCTTTGCACTGCTTTAATCTACATGTATGTTTTAAGGAAGAACAATTTAAAATCAACACTCCTTCAAATTATTTCAAATGCCTTTTACATGTACAATGTAGCCGAATACTTTAATACTGAGTACTTTTCATTTAAGCCTGCATTCCTGAAAGAATTGCTTCAGTGGTCATTAACACCTTTGTCTTTTGTTCTAATATCGGACTGTTGCAGGTAAATCAAAACGCAATGTTTTAATACCATATATGCCTCATACAATTATGTATTAAAAAATTTCAGACAGTTTTCGGCCCAACTGTCTGATATTTTTTAATACAGAACTGAATTCCGGATATATCCAATACTGACATCATTACTTACTTAGCAATGATTGGTATAGATAGAGTTTCTGATGTAGTCTTGATGACATCATTACTTACTTAGCAATAACTGGTATAGAGAGAGTCTCTGATATAGTCTTGATGACATCATTACGATTAGGATGCCTCGGTCTCTCCTCTTTTGTGCGACCATGGACACCTACTGCTGACACACCTGTACTCTCTATCAGTCTGACTAACTTGAGTGTATCCTCCAACTGAAATTTAATTCTTTTATGTAATCTAAGTAAATCTGATTCATTACAAAGATGCTTGAAAAAGACAAATGTTGCCCTTTAAGAACAGAAACCACAGCTGCATCAATGCTTGTGTATTGTGTATGCCTGTTAAGGCTAAAAAAAAATTAATAGTTTCTCGGGCCAAAACAATCAAAATTCAATGCGGCAGGCAGGCTTTTCTTTTTTTTTTTTTTTTTTTTTGAAGCAGGTTTTACACCTTTTAAAGCAATTTCTTCAATAAAATGATAATATCTACTAATTCTTCATTTTTGTTCTCTGAAATTAGTTATAATATGTATTCAACTTTAAATAATGTTATTCCAAACATTTATTTAAAAGTTAATTAATAAAATATTGTAAATTTAGAAGAAATGTTTTGTTTTTCTAATAAAAACGTCTATCTTAGGCCATGCAAAATTAATTCCTTGGTTCTCAGGCCTTTTTTCAAGAAATATGATGAGGGAGGGAGGCATTTTTTTTTTACTTTTTATTGCCCCCAAACATGATGAGGCAGCTTTTTACATTGTACAAAACCTCAAAAAATGATGAGGGAGGTGATTTGTTGTTTTTATTTTATTGATTTAGCAATAAAAAGGGTCAATGAGGCGCCCTTGGAAGAGATGAGGGAGGGCCTGAGAACCAAGAAATTAATTTTTTTTGGCCTTAGCATTTATGAAAAGGGGAATAACTCAATTTTCTTTTTCAACTTGGAAAAATTGAAAATTGATCGATGCGGCCGTTTTTGAACTGATGCTGCGGTGCCTGAGAAACTATTGATTAATTTTTTTTGGCCTAAATATTGAAATTTTTTCATTCTCAGAAAACCAGAGCTAACTGTGGCATGGCCAAGTTAGACACATGAATTAAAAATAATATTTAATCTTTATTTTCTTTGTTAATTATATATACTTACGTTTGGAAAGACTCGGATCTTGCAGGTGACAGGAACTGATAGTCCATTAACAAGGGTGGTCAGAATCTAAACAGAAAAAAAATCAAAGGTGTTTGTTTTAATGGTCAAGTACATTGTACAGTAAAACTCGTTTAGTACGAACATGGATATAACGAATTCACGGATATAGTGAATTTTTTCTGGGTTCCCGGCAAAATTCTGAACAAATCTTTGTAAAATTTTACGGTTATAATGAACTCTGATATAACGAATTTACGGATATAGCGAACTGATTTTGAGTCCCGTTGAGGTTAAATAAGATGAAATTTACATGTTTTCTAACGATCTTTCAAAGATCTTAAAATGTAAGAAATTAAACTGACTTTATTTTCTTTTAGCCTTTGTATAAAAATTCAATTCATGATAAAACCGTAGTTATCCAAGGTATGTTTTGTGATATTTGCTTCCCTAACATATTTGGTGGTAACACGTCAAGGAAAACTTGCATATTGCGAATTCACTATGTATGGTTATACGAATTTGTTATACGGATATAACGAATTACGGATATAGCAAATTAAATTAACAGGTCTCCATGGCTTCGCTATAACCAAGTTTTACTGTATATCATCCCTTAGAAAAATACATTACGGTAAATTCTAAAACTCCAAGTAAGGATTAAGAGTCATTGAATAAGACAGAAACTCAAAAAGACATCAATAATCTATATTAGATGGAAGTTATCAAAACATAATTTGTTATAACAATCTACATTTTTTCTTGTTAAACTGACCTCTTTGACCTTTTCTGGTTGAGTAAGTAGAGCAGCTCCCATTCCTCCCTGATAAATAACAGTAAAATGTGTTACAAGTGCTAAAAGAGAGGACCACAGGTAACATTGCTAACATGTCATCTTTACAGATGATGAAATTTCATTTATAAGTAGTTGCAGATGTTTTCAAAAGAAACTCAAACAATTACTCTGATTAAATAAAGATTAAATTATTTTTATAATTTGAATAATAAAAAAATAAAGTCACTTAGGAAAACTGCTACATGTACTACTCACCTTAATGGAAAATTCTTTTGGACAACCCATATTAACATCGACACCAGCAACAAGGTCTTGTCTGTTAAAAGGCATGAGAAAAAACAAATAAAAATACATTTAGCTCCTTGAAACTTACATATATTCACAAAAAAAGATATACACAAATATTTTTTCTCGTGTGTCTTTTGGCATAAAGTTTTTGTTCTTTGAATCTATGATTCAATAAATAGAGATAAACAATCTTTATTTTAAAAAAAAAAGACCCTTTATATTCTTATGAAATTGTTGTTTAATGATAAATCTAAAACAAAATTAACTTACATTTTCTGGGCAGCTTTCAGTGCTCTTTTGGCATCTGCTGTGCCCTACAGATAAACTCTTTAATATTATACAACTTACTTTTTTCTCCAAGATTTGAAAAATATACAGTGTGGTTAGATGTAATTCAAATTTCCTTACTAATAGTAATAGAAACTCAAGGAATGAAAAATGAAAAAAAGAAGCCACAAGGATTGTATACAATATGAAGTTAAATGACAATACTTGTGAAAAACTTACTATTTGAAAGATAAGTTTGTCTTTTTCCTCAGGAAATGTCCTAAAAATGATGGTTCCATCACTCAAAACAAAATCCACTGTTCCAAGTGCAGCTATACCCCAAAAAATTGAACAAGATGAAAATTTACATTTTAAAAGAAGGAAACCGTTAGCATTGAACAGATATTTTTTCTGGCAGATTGCAAACAGGATTTGAGCCCATATTGATTTTCATTAATTGACTTAAGAAAAAGCAGAACTCTTGCTTATCATGATAATATACTAAGTTTAATCTAAAAACCATGAGCAGATATTTTCAAAGAAATAATGCATATTTACTAAGTGATACATGTAAACAGAGTAGTAATACCAGAATCCCTGACACAGTGGAACAGAAATTCAGAATTTTGGAAATGGTCATCTTATTTATATACTTTTGTTTGTTTGATAAATATACAGGAAGATTATTGTAGAATTTATACATTTCCACTATACAATCAGTAGGGGTTCCATCCTTTCACTAGATTCTGCAGAATTCTGGTCTGGAATTCTGGTAAAGCCAACAGTTTGACTGCTTGTTCAAAAGTAAAGAAGGAGTTCTTTTTTAAAGACTGGATTAATTTTGTGGTTTTTATCATATTACCCCACTCCTCTGGCACCAAAATGAAATGGGGGGGGGGGGGGGGGTAATTTTGTTTTAAAGTGCAATGTCAAAATTGGTTCAGCAGTTCCATAACATAATTTGAATGGTTTAAATGTTAATTCACGAAACATTGAATGACTGACAAATCAGAGTGAAGTAAGGTGAATTGTGACATAAAAAACGTGTAAGAGTTAAGCAACTAAGATTAAGAGGAATCTTAACTAAGATATGTTAGAGTCAGGTTGTTGAATAAAAACAGAGAAAAAAAATAATACTCAGGTTTCAATAAAAAAAATTAAATTTATTATTTGTATTCTTGACATTCCAAATAAACTACTTACCATTCTCAATTCTCTTTGACTTGAGAATTTTGAAGTCAATAATTTCCTAAAAATAGGCAGTATAAATATAAGTTCAGGATTTTTAAAGAAAAACACAACATGCACGAAAAAAAAAATCTTTTCTGAACTGTTTTCCATCGGATGGTTAACATGTTTTGATCTTTGATGTGAAGTAAATTGTCCAATTCTCATTGATGTTGATGTTATTAGAAACTTAAGGGTGGTAAACCTTAGTGGGACATTTTAACGCAGATATTGAACAATAATATTTGAGAGAAAAAACTGAAAAAACTTTACCTCACAATATACCAAGTCTGCCCCGTATTTCACAGCAAGCAGCCTCATGGGTAAAGTTCCAACCCTGACCATTGGGGCAAGCATGGTCTTATTCTTGTACAAGTCAGAATTTTTTACCATGTTTCTGTTAAGATCTGCAAGATCTTTAAATGCAATTACATCATTTTGTATTCAACTTCAAATATTGCCTATTTTCTTTTAAGCTGCATAAGATCTTAATTGATTACAGAACTAGATTTTCAAAAAATCAAAATATTGTATATAGTTTACATATGTTCAAATCTCCCTTCTACTTTACCTGAATTTTGTAGAAAATAGGTTTCACAACTGAAAATTTCTTTGACACATCTCATTTCATGGGCGCAGACATCTTGGTCAGCGTTTCTTAAACGTACTATTGATTTGTCAAGAAAAACATTACATTCAAACATTTAAGAGACGTAAATGCTTGTACGCATGCGTCTAAAGATTTTTCTTATGGCGGCTTATTTACACATGTGAAAGTAAAGAAAAACTAGAAAGGTAAATTATGCTTTTAATTCATTTGTGATCACGTTTGCCAGCTTAGTTCGGTACTGATAATGATCAGCTGCAGTACTTGGATAATGCAGAACAAATTTATATGTACATAATGACATGAGATGAAAGTTTGTAAATGTCTTTTTTTTTATTTAGAGAATGGAAACAGATGTAGCTGACTTCTCTGATCTTCAGCAACAAGCAGAGCACCTGACAGCTGAATTTGACAGTGCCTCTGATCTGCCACGAGTTAACAGAAACATTGCCCAGATCCTAGAGGCAGGGTCCCGACTTCTGTCTAAAGTTGCTCCAATCAGTCAGGATTCCACTGATGTCAGAGCGTATGTCAAAATAGAAGCACTAATTAAATTAATATACATTTATAAATTGCTCGTTATTCATTATATACATGTAAATCATTTCCAGCATGAGTTCTTTTTTTATTACCACTAAAGTTTGATGTGTTATACTTTGTTCTTTTAGGTCTATATTGCTTGGCACTAAAGGATACGATGTCCCCAAAATATCTCAGAAACTAGAAGGACTAAGTGCCGCCAAAACATTTGAACCTCTTGAACCTGTAAAAGACACAGACATTCAAGTAATTAGCTTTATCATTTATTTCTGTAATTCCGAATGATGTAACCAATTCCTAATCTTTTTATTTACTGTTCTTTATACAAATAATTTAATATTTGTTCATGTATTTTTAGAGTTTTCTCAAGAATGAAAGAGAGAACGCTTTATTGGCAGTCATAGAGCAAACACGGAAACATGTAAGATGAATCTTGAAGTGAATTTTGAACCTGCATTCCTATAACAGTTGAATTTTTATTTTTAATGTTTTACTCTTTTCTACCGCATAACTTTTGAAGACATTTGAGGAATCTGAAAGGAGACACTGGGAATGCATGGAGAATGAGTGGGAGAGAGAAAAACAGAAGATCCTGAATACTCTACGAGGATTAAATCAGGACACAACAGATTTACAACCAGAGGCAGAGGTAAAAGAATGGCTTTGTATGCAAACTGCAAGTATTCTAGATAATGGTAAAATTTGCTTTTAAATTTAAAAGTGTATGAATTTACAAGGGGCCAATTTCATTTGTCACTGATCGGCGTACACCAAATTGCGCCGGTCATATGACTGGCGTAAAATGGCTAAGAGGCAAATGAAGTTAACCAGCAAAAACATTTTTAAAAAATGAATAATTACGCTAAATGATAATCAATTAATGAAGTTTTATCACTTTTTACATTATGTCTTAGTAGAATAATTCGAAATTCAAGTAAAAAAGAACCATGACCTCATGAATAATTTTATTTTTTGAAAATAAAAACATAGTTTAAATATATGAATAGAGATTTGCTCAAAATATGCAAACAAATAAAGAACATGTCGATTTGGTAGAAAGTATCTGCATTTTCACAGTTGTTTTCCCTTCCCGCCATATTTCTAACACCGGCGATTTCCTCGCCGGTCATTTTAGACTGGCGAGATCAGCGTACGCCGGCAAACCTTCCCCGATCAAATGAAGCAACAATCCGGGTTACGAAAGGTCAAGTGGCACATTCGGCGTGCGCCGGTATGACAAATGAAATCCTACCAAGACTTACCATTGTATATCCTTTTTTTATTGACAGAGTTTTGCAGTAGATCCTGTTAGTATGCATGGCAGAAGCAATTTAAATAACATAGAGATGGCATATGCTAGACAGGTTTGTATTGAAAATCAAGTGGACAAAGTTTATTTAAATGTTCAACTGGCTTAAAATGTCACAAAAATCTTTTTGTATTATTAAATTGTTAAAGAAAGAGTAAAGCTTGATTTCTTGAATTATTTTGTACATCTTTACTACATTATGAATTAGTTTTCTTAATTTTCATATGTTGATTGATAGGTGTACATGTACAATGAACAAGTTTTACAAGGCAGTATCCGACCAAACTTAGCCGAGGCTTTCTCGGAGGTTGCTAACAGTCTGGATGATAAGGTATGCTTCAGAGTCTGACAAATATAGATGTCATTTTGTTACACAAGCAGTAAATATTATTTGTAATGTATGAATATCTTTTTATTGTGTATGATATAGAAACAAAAATTCAATGTATTTTCATGTACAGTCAAACCTCGTTATCTGGGAGTATGTTAAACTTCAAATTATCAGAGGGTATGAAATATAAGAGTACAATACATTATAAATATTTTTGTTATTGACAGCCTGTGATGGACCTCTGAGAGCAGGTTAAATTCATGGTAGACATTATAAATATTTTTGTTATTGACAGCCTGTGATGGACCTGTGGGAGCAGGTTAAATTCATGGTAGACATTCCCCTCATCTCCTCCAACAGTGTCAAAGAAACCCGCACAGACTACCGCACACAGGCAGCATTTGTAGAGAAGGGGAAGGAGTACCTCGAACAGATGTAAGTAGTCTAATTTTCAATTTGTTTATTTAGTTTACCAGTGCAAAGAATTATTTATTGTTTTTAAAATACAAACTTAAAAACATATAAGATAGGCTCACTCACACATGTACAAAACCTTAAATATATAACAATCATACCGTACACACAATCTTTATAAAGGTTTTATCAGTCCCATTCTACAAAACAAAAGACAATATTAATATGGTATGCATATTAAAAAGCCGTAACTGTATACATGTACAAACTTAAATGGTCTGTTGCAATTAACAATGGACTATGGATGTCAAGTAATCAATCAGGTGCCTTAAAAACAAGTTGTTTATTTTTGTTCTTGCATTCTGAAGTTGTTTCAAAGAAATAAACAAATTTTCTCAATGATAAAATAAAGCATTGATTTGCAGGTACTCCAAGCACATCCAAAGTACAATTTACAGTAACCTACAGCAAGCCCAGCTTGGTGGGATACCGTCCACCTATAACCAGGTCAAGAGTTACCTGAATGTCTGCCCGCCTCACATCAAGGGCCTGGAGGATGGGTCTGTAGACGGACATCCAGTCTGGGCAATGATCTACTACTGTCTTAGGTGTGGAGACCTACAGGCAGCTCTACAAGTCACAGAAAAAGCAGCGTAAGTACAGAAAAAGTATTGTAAGTACAGAAAAAGTATCATATCAAGAAGTACCTTCAGTATTAGTTGTGTCACAGAAAAAGCACAAGTAACAAAGAGGGCTGTGTAATTATTGAATAAACAAGTTACAGACAAAGTATTGTTTTTATTGAATGTAACTTTAGCCCTTTAAAGCACAGACAAAGCAATGAACAAAGTACACGTCTCAGACCGTATCTCTGGTAGATGATTAGTACTACCCTGTTATTTAATCAATGTGATTCAAACGTTCTGGTTTGCTGTACATTTCAGACACAATCTTGGAGATTTCCCTGCTTATCTAAGGGAATATGTTACAGATGAAGATCGCAGGTTAGAGGAAAAAATTCTGAACGTTTGGAATAAAAAAATAATTTTTGATCATAGAACACACAAATTCTTTGGTGGTACAAAGAAAACACTACAGCTTACATGTATGCATCCTTTTTGTACATGCGTATGCTGTTTGTTTTTTCTAGGTTGTCTGCAGCAAGTGAAACCAAGATCAATTTACATTATAGGAGAATCATTAAGAATGGAAATGACCCATTTAAAAGGTGAGCATGGAGTTTTTCTTGTCATTTAAAATTGATAGAATTATCAATAACACAACTGAGTGAGAAATGCTTGATTCCATTCTACAAGGCCAAAAATAAAATTAGCTTTGTTTGGCGTTGCCATCCGACTCAGGTAAATTGGTGCGGTACAGAGAAATTTTTTCAACTTATACATATTGTAATTTTTTTTTCGTCATAGTTATCAGGATTTGGGTATCAGTACGTTTGAGTAATATACAAAATGAGAAATAATCATGTAAACGCTTAATTGATCGAACAGTTTTCATTTATAAGCGTCTATGTGATGTTGATTTTACTTATCACAAATCTAAGGCATGGCTGTGGAAAGCGGTAATGTAAACTCATTAAATCAGAAGTTGATGGCATGACTCTCCGCGGTATAAGTGTGTCTTAAAATGGCAAAAATATACTGACGAATCAAATCAGTTATTCCAGTTTCAACTAGAAACTTCAAGGTACAATGAACTCTCTGATTTGCTGGATGAATCTAGCAGCCATGCTTGGATTCGTGCATATGAAAACAACTTGATGCCAATTCAGTGTCGGCGACTTTTTTATAAGCTTACCATGTATATTAAAGGTTTAAAATTAATAGGGTTTGAAAATAAATAACAATTAGGAATCAGTTCGGACCCCAGTTGTTGTAAAATAATCGGAAAACCATGACGCTCGCATACTAACAACATTTCTGAAATTGAAAAAAAAAATTTCCCCTACCTACCAACCCAAACGCATTAAGACTGAGTTGGAAATGCCAAACCAACAATATTTTAATTCTGGCCCAATCACTCCCATGTACAATTACAAAGACTTGTACTGTAAATTCCTAAATATATGCATGGAATTAATTATTGCTTAATTTCTCGAGAAGAGTAATAAAATTACTCGCCTTTTTTTTTATGATGCTCAAATCTATCTAAAATCTCTTGATGAACCATCCATTCGCGAATTATTTTTCTCGATTTACCATTGAAGAGCCCATTCGGGATAATAAGTACTCGTGAAAAATAAGGAATCTACAGTAAAGTCCCCCCCCCCCCTTCCACCCAAGATACTATGCACTTCAGTTTTTGTTAAAAATGGACACTCCTAGATGATTTTGTGAAAATTAAAATTAGTTATGATTGTATCTTCTTAAATACCCCTCTTGAGAATTTTTCTCTCGTAAAGAGACATTGCCATTACCTGTGAAGTTCCTACCACAAGGGGATGCCCCGCTTAGCGGTGCCCTTGTCTCTTTTAGGATATCCTTGGTCTTTTTGTGCCCTATGAATGGCTTAACATTTTATAATACAATTCTTTGTTTAGCTTTGCCTTATGTAAGTAATGTTACAGTGTATAATGTGCTTATTTGTGGACTGTATCTCGTCTTCCTTGGCAGGGCTGTGTTTTGTGTGGTGGGTAGATGTGATCCTACAGAAGACCACTCGGAGATAGCGGATAAGATTGACGACTACTTGTGGATTAAGTTATCTCAGATCCAGGTGGATCCGGACCCCTCCAGACAGGACGGATTTACTCTACAAAGATTACAGAGCCTGCTTTATGAAGATTTTGGTTTGTATGATTATAGCATTCATTTATTATGTCCCTGGATGTGAATTTGTCAAGTTATTTTAAGTTTCGTTTGGCCATCAGCGTTAGACTACAACAATTTCAGATCAAGCATGGACAACATTTGATGTTAATTTGTTCCTCCAAAGCAGAAAGGCTATAGTCTATGACATACTGTAAACCAACTTTTATTCGCGTGTTTAGCGACCAGCATTAAATTGCGAATATTAATCACCACAAAGCACTTATTTTGCTTTGTATTAGAAGAGAGGGGTTCCTCGGCCACGGAAATTAATCGTCGCAGATTGATTTTAAACTGACGAATTGCGAATAAATGTTGGTTTACAGTATAAAGATTAAAGTTCTGTTAGCAAGTGCATACAATTTAAAGCAATCCGTAGTTTCAATTGAAAGACACTTGACAAATTCATAACAGATTTCTTATATTTTTTGAAAGAAATAAAGGTTTTTAAGGATTACATAAAACTTTTTGGAAATAATTTATTAACCCATCCTTTGTGTTATAGGTGAGAGTCACTTTGGTGGATACCAGAACCCTTTCCTTTATTTCCAAGTCCTCATTCTCACAGCTCAGTTTGAGGCGGCCATTGAATTCATGTCCAGAATTGACCGACTCTTGTGTCATGCTGTCCATGTGGCTCTGGTTCTGTATGAACTCAAAATGTTACTCCTTCCTCAGTCAACTCAGGCTCAGTTATGTAAGCAATCTGAATGTACACTAACATATTTTTTCAGGTTTTATTTCTCATAAAGCATGTATATGTACATGTATTGTGAAGATGGGTAAGCACATACAGTGTATATGTACCAGTTCTTTATTTCTTGCTTACATTGGAAAAAGACAATGGCATAGTAATCTTCATACAATTTTCAGTGACCAAAGACCCATCTGATGAGGGACCACTAAGGAGATTGAATTTTTTCCGACTTATCACCATGTACACCCGTAAATTTGAAGCCACAGATCCCAGAGAAGCACTACAGTATTTTTACTTCCTAAAGTGAGTGTTACTGTCGAAATCAGTGTAATTTTTTAGGGATATTTTTGTTGAATATCTGAAATAAACTTGTTTTTGTAAACATTTTGACTGAAAATATATCTCTTCATGAAAGATGTAGTCTTTGATATACATGTATATGTAAAGGTAAATTCATGAGTGAGATTTACCCATGAAATTCATGAAAATTAACACCCACAAATAAATGAAATTTAAGAATAGCTTAGAATAGAATATTTAATAATAGTATGAGATTTTCTCTATTTTTTTCTATTTTAAAATCCTTACATTTCATTTAATTGATTTTGAACTGGGTTTTGATATTGCAGTGATCTGAGAACATCCCAAGGGGAGAATCTCTTCATGTCCTGTGTCAGTGAACTAGTACTGGAGACAAGAGAGGTGAGGAATTTATAAAGGTGCCATTAAGTTCTACTGAAATATGAATGTAATGTATTTAGATACCAACATTTATTGATGGTTGATTTTATCCAAAGTATTTATAATATTGATCCATCAGTGTTTTGTATGACTGATTGTTATCCACATCTTTTTAATGTATAGTAATTAAGGCTGGACTGTGGATATCCACCTGGATAGCTCAGTGGTTAGAGGACTTGCCTAGTAATACAGGGGTCCCATGTTTGATTCCTGGTCCAGCAACACATTTTTTCATTTTATATGTATTTATGAATTTTCAATGGATGTTAACTCATTCCTCCTTTCCACACCACAAATGAATGAATTATATGCCTATAGTGTACCATGTCTAACACTGGATTGTAACATTCTTTTGCTCCTTTAGTTTGAGATGCTATTGGGAAAGATTGAACCAGATGGAACAAGGAGGGTAAGCTTTATAGTGATGTCCAATCATTTTTATGCCTGTGAAGAATTGCAGTCCATTATTCTTTTTAAAAAGAAAATATCAAATTACAACAATTAATATTGAAAAAACACAGTGTAAGGGGTAATTATCATCATGTAGCAATCAGTGTTAATAACGTATTTAGAGTTTATTTGTTACACTACATGTATTATCCAAATAATTAACTCATGACAACTGTCATATACATTCAAATTTCATTAACATGTTATCATAATTATGTATGATTTTCATCTACAGTTAGGTGCAATAGACAAATTTCAACATGACACACAGCGAATCATAGAACTGGTTGCCAGGGATACAGAAAATAAAGGAATGTTTGAGGAAGCTGTTATGTTATATGACCTTGGGGGTGTAAGTACAGAGTTATTGACATGAAACTGCTAATTAGTCATGGCCAAGACATTCAAATTAATTAATAGGTGTTAGATGATTCTTTTACAAGAGACAGAAAATAAAATTGTTTAATACAATTTTCAGAATGTAATCTTTTTCTTGGTTCTGTGAAAATTTGTTGAAAGGAGAAAAATTTTAAATCTGCAGTATTGACTTTATAAGAATTATATTTTTTTTCCCTAGAAACATGATAAAGTTTTAGAGTTATTAAACAGACTGATCAGTCAAGTTGTATCACAGCCAAACACCCCACAATCGGCGAGGGACCGACTCCGCAGTGTGGCCGTCAGTATCGCCAAAAGGTAACATTAGGATGATAAAACTGCCTACAAGATATCTTGTGATTTGTGTCATCTTTATTGTTTTGTTTGCTTTCTAGATAGAGCTTGATTTTTTTCCTCTTCTTTACAGATACAGAGAAGGAAATACTGAAGGGTCAAGGTCAAACACCAGCACATTTTATCTGTTACTTGACCTTCTGACCTTTTTTGATTACTTCCATGAAGGCAATGTAGACGAAGCCTTTGAGGTATGAGAACATACCTGATTACCAGGAAAGTTTATGAATTAAATACTTTCTAATTTGCAATTCTCAGAAGCTTATTTGTATTTTGATCTCAGCCCATATCTGACATTGCTTTTGACCTGCTTGTTACCTAGATGGTACTTTGACCCCCTTGCCATCTAATACCTGCCCTCTATCACAAAATCGGGGATCTGTGCCTTGATTCTTATTTTCAAATCTTGTTGATGCCTTTTCGAGCAGGTGATGAAACAGCTGAAGTTACTTCCCTTGACAGCGGATGCTGTGGAACACAAAGTGAATGCTTTCAGGCATTACACAGATGAGGTTAGATAAAACTACTTTGTTTCTCGTAGTATTAATATGTTTTTCTTGATCTTTTTTCTTACTTGAGTTCATAAAAAGTGTCCCATGAATTTGTTATACATTTGTGTGCAAAGAATTAGCTAAGCTATACAGATTAAATATGATCTCAAATAAGTCTAATATGGTTCTACTTAAATTGGGTGTGCAGTAAAACCTTAATACATGGAGAATGCTGATAATGAATAATCACTTGGGACAAAATGATTTCCATTCCACTTACATGTAATTATTAAATCTTTTATGAACTTATCAGATATAAATTTTGAATGCCAGGACAAAAGTGATATTAAACAATATTCAATCATTTGTAAGGAATAAAAATGAAAGGCTTGTAGATGAAATTAATGTTTATGTACTTTTTTATATATCCATTTAGTTCACAATATATTTTAAAGCCACATGGAATGGGGAGATCAGATTGGTTCAGTGCTAAGTGTCAATTCATTTTTAGCATGTTCGCTATAATTATGTTTTACTGTGCTCTCAATTTTATATCTGATTTTATTTCAGGTCAGACGATGTTTACCAGACATTTTGATTGCTACAATGAATATTTTACATAATCAGTATAAGAATGCCAAGTAAGTGTTACAACTGGTAATACTGAGCTTAGATTTACCGTAAACCAACTATTATTCGGTATTAAAAATAAATATCAGGGGTATCCCTAAGGTCCGCAACATATTTAAATCATGAATGTTAATCGCTGCAAACCGTTCATTTTGCTTAGTATTTGTAGAGAAATGCTTCCTTAGTTGTGAAAAATAATCGTCGAAGATTGATTTCAAACTGACGAATCGCGGATAAAAGATGACGTGAATAATAGTTAGTTTACAGCCACTAATCATAGTACAGTTCACTTACTGTGTTTTCCTACACCACACAGAGCCAGTGACACTTGAACCATCATAACAGAATGTTTATTTGTGTAACTAATTTTTATAGAATTGCTTTAGCTGTTTTTAAAAGAATCTCATAAGTTAATCTAATATAAAATTTATAATATGTTAAAAAGTGTACTTGTATGGGAAACATCATAAATTCTTCAAATATCTGAATCTTTAAGGAACTCTGCCCCAAGGGGAGGTTACTCTGGTCAAGGGAAGTCAGAAGACGGGGGAAAGGAAACTGTAAGTACCTGCACTGTCTGTCTTATAAAAGGGGTAACAACTATATATTTTTAGGTCACCTGAGTAACTCGGGTGACCTATTGCTATTCGTTTTCGTCCGTCGTCGTGTGTTAACATTTGAACATTTTCAGCTTCATCTCAGAAACCACTAAACCAATTTCAACCAAATTTGGTATACAGCATCTATGGGTGAAAGGGAACAAAAATTGTGAATTTTATGGTCCCCGCCCCCCTGGGGCCTGAGGGGTAGGGCCAAAACCACTAATATTATTGCAATCTTTTAAAATCTTCTTCTTTACTCCTGGATATCAAGCAGGCAAACTGTTGGCATGAATGTAATGAACATTGAGTCATCCACCAAAATTGTGAAATTCATGGCCCCAGGGCCAGGGGTTCTAGTGCTAGGGCGGGGCTATATTGATTATATAGTGAAAATGCATTTATTCTTTGAAAATCTTCTCTGCTTCTGAGTATTAAATAAACTTACTCAAAGTACATAGTTATGATGAATAAGAGTTCGTCTTCCAAAATTGTGAATTTTATGGCCCCAGGGTCAGGGGTTCTGGTGTTAGGGCGGGGTTCTATTGATTATATAGTGAAAATGCATTAATTCTTTGAAAGTCTTCTTCTCTGCTTCTGGGTTTTATGCCAATGATCCAAGTATATATATTTATGATGAAGAAAGGTGCATCTAGCAAAATGGTTATTTTTTATGCCCCCTATGTTGAGGGGGGGGTTACATAGTCTGAAAATAAATTAACGCTTTGAAATCTGCTCTTTGGTATTAATCAACCATTTTATGATAAAATTTGTAAAATTTTGAAATATGTGGCCCCAGGGTCAGTGGGGTTTTTTTGGGGAGTGGTGCACAACTGGTTATGAAGTGGAAGTGCATTTTCTCTTTGTTATTCTGATCTACCTCTGAGTATTAAGTAAATAGAGTAAACATGCTAAGTTTATAATTACGATAAACAATGGTGCCTCTTTCAAAATTGTGAATTGTGAATTTCATGGCCTCTGGTTTAAAACATGAACCAAACTTAATTGTTTGAAAGTTGTTACACGATAATCAGGTGACCTATAAGGCCCGTGGGCCACTTGTTCAAATTTAGAAGAAATTTATTCCCTGACCTTAATGTTGCTTTTAAAATAACTATAGCAATTTGGGGCAAAATATTAAAATACTATGGTATCATCAGAAAATTTTTTAATAAATACATTATTGCCAGGGATGTTTAGAGAAATACCGGAGGCCATTTGCTTGAAAAGTGACTGACCTTTTAATTTCGAAGGACAAAAATGAATATTTAAGTGAAAAATGACGTAAAGCAACTGTTTAATATACATGTACATCATTTAATTATCTGTCAACTAAAAGTTCACCAAACATTATTGATTTGCCCTACACCGTAGTATTGCAGTTATCCTAAATAAAAGATCTCATTGTGTTATTGATATGTACATGTATTTATAAGTGTGTTTTCATTGATGGGAGATGTACAATCTGCTCAAGAAACCTCTGGTCTCACTTAGCTGTGTTACATTTCATAAACAACTGATTATGGATATCCTGGTTTTTAGCTCTACTGGTCAGAGACCAGAGGAGCTTATGCGATAGTAATGCGTCCGTCCGTCTGTCTGTCTGTCTGTAAACAATTTTTCAAAATGCTACTCCTCCTACAGTTTTGGTCTGATATCAATATAACTTGGCACACAAGTAAACTACACTAAGATACATAATTCTGGACATCAGTTTTTGATTTTGATGAACTGTGTTGCTGTTGTTACTAAAAATAGAAATTTATTTGAAATTCTTTTAAAATGCTACTCCTCCTACAGTTTTGGTCTGATTTCAGTATAACTTGGCGCACGAGTAGTCTTCACTAAGATACATAATTCTGTGTATTGGTTTTGATTTTGATGAAAGGTGTTGCCATGGTTACTAAAAATAAAAATTTATTTGAAATTCTTTCAAAATGCTACTCCTCCTACAGTTTTGGTCTGATTTCAAGAACTTGGCACACAAATAGTCTACACTAAGATACATAATTCTGTGTATCTTTTTTTTGATTTCTATGAACGGTGTTGCTGTTGTTACTAAAAATAGAAATTTCTGAGAAATTCTTTCAAAATGCTATGTCTCCTACAGTTTTAGTCTGATTTCAGTATAACTCGTCACACAAGTAGACTGCACTAAGATACATAATCCTTTGTTTTGATTTTTGATTTGGATGAACGGTGTTGCCGTGGTTACTAAAAATAGAAATTTCTGTGATTTTTTTTCCAAAATGCTACATCTCCTACAGTTTAAATCTGATTTCAATATAACTTGGCACACAAGTAGACTACACTATGATACACAATTCTGCCTATTGGTTTTTGACTTCGATGAACATTATGCCTTGGTTACTGAAAATAGAAATTTCTATTAAATAATCTCAAAATGCTACTCCAAATACAGATTTAGTCTGATTATAATATAATGTGGCATGCAAGTAGACTACACTAAGAACATAAAACGACTTAATCAAGGATCGTTATTTTATTTATTGCTGTTGTAAAGTTTCAATTCCCAACTCCTTAAGTACTCTTCTCTTCCTTTGTTTTAAGTACAAACCAGTAGAGCTTCAGTCTCAACAGAGACTTCTGGTTTATCATGTGGATCAAATGTTAAGGATGTCCTGTCCTTTATTTATAAAATTCTGCATCATTTTAAAGTTCTAACATTAAATCTGAATTCTACAGTGCAAATTCAACTATATCCAATAAAAACGGCTATTAAATTCCATTCAAACATGATTAAGCAAGGAACTATATTTTGTGGCGGAAGGTTTTATTAGACGAAAATGATCAGTTTTTCCATTTTGAATTTTAACATTACTGTTAATTTTGGATTCCTATTTTTCCATCCTGGTTGCACACAAAGCTGTCTTTTGCAGTGAAATGTGTTATGCTGGTTAGCTCTACTGGTCAGAGACCAGAAGAGCTTATGCGATAGTAATGCGTCCGTCATCCGTCCGTCTGTCTAGCTGTCTGTCTGTCTGTCCGTCTGTCCGTCTGTCTGTCTGTCTGTCTGTAAACAATTTTTCAAAATGCTACTCCTCCTACAGTTTTGGTCTGATTTCAATATAACTTGGCACACAAGTAGACTACACTAAGATACATAATTCTGTGTATCGGTTTTTGATTTCGATGAACGGTGTTGCCGTGGTTACTAAAAATAGAAATTTCTGTGAAATTCTTTCAAAATGCTACTCCTCCTACAGTTTTAGTCTGATTTCAATATAACTTGGCACACAAGTAGAATACACTAAGATACATAATTCTGTTTTTCGAATTTTAATTTTCAATTGATGAATGGTGTTGCCGTGGTTACTAAAAATAGAAATTTCTGTGAAATTCTTTCAAAATGCTACTCCTCCTACAGTTTTAGTCTGATTTCAATATAACTTGGCACACAAGTAGACTACACTAAGATACACAATGCTGTATATCAGTTTTTGATTTTGTTGAACGGTGTTGCTGTGGTTACTAAAAATAGAAATTTCTGTGAAATTCTTTCAAAATGCTACTCCTCCTACAGTTTTAGTCTGATTTCAATATAACTTGGCACACAAGTAGACTACACTAAGATACATAATTCTGTGTATCGGTTTTTGATTTCGATGAACGGTGTTGCCGTGGTTACTAAAAATAGAAATTTCTGTGAAATTCTTTCAAAATGCTACTCCTCCTACAGTTTTAGTCTGATTTCAATATAACTTGGCACACAAGTAGACTACACTAAGATACACAATTCTGTGTATCGGTTTTTGATTTCGATGAACGGTGTTGCCGTGGTTACTAAAAATAGAAATTTCTGTGAAATTCTTTCAAAATGCTACTCCTCCTACAGTTTTAGTCTGATTTCAATATAACTTGGCACACAAGTAGACTACACTAAGATACACAATTCTGTATATCGGTTTTTGATTTCTTTGAACGGTGTTGCTGTGGTTACTAAAAATAGAAATTTCTGTGAAATTCTTTCAAAATGCTACTCCTCCTACAGTTTTAGTCTGATTTCAATATAACTTGGCACAAAAGTAAACTACACTAAGATACATAATTCTGTGTATCGGTTTTTTATTTCGATGAATGGTGTTGCCGTGGTTACTAAAAATAGAAATTTCTGTGAAATTCTTTCAAAATGCTACTCCTCCTACAGTTTTAGTCTGATTTCAATATAACTTGGCACACAAGTAGACTAACACTAAGATACACAATTCTGTGTATCGGTTTTTGATTTCAATGAACGGTGTTGCTGTGGTTACTAAAAATAGAAATTTCTGTGAAATTCTTTCAAAATGCTACTCCAAATACAATTTTAGTTTGATTATAATATAAATGTGGCATGCAAGTAGACTGCACTAAGAACATAAAGAGACTTAATCAAGGATCATTATTCTATTTATTGCTGCTGAAAAGTTTCAATTTCCAACTGCTTAAGTACTTTTCTCTTCCTTTGCTATAAGTACAAACCAGTAGAGCTTCAGTCTCGACAGAGACTTCTGGTTTTGAAATATCTATTAAATTATTTCTTATGAATTCTATCAACAAAGTGTGACAAATATAGTCAATATATTCTGAAAATCCGGGAAAAAATTGAGCCAATTTTAATGTAAAATTGACACTTTTTTAGTAATATCTAAAAATTTACATCATATACCCCCACTTTTGATGTTCTTTTCTAAATATTCAAGATAAATTTGACCTATCTGCTTAAAATCAGAAAAAGTTTAAGACTTTAAAATAATTTTCTTGCTTATTCAATTTTCAATGCAAGAAAAATCACTTTTTGTTAGTGCAGAAATGTCAAATAATTGATTATGCGAAGCAATTTGAAACTTTTTCTTAGTCACAATTTTTAAGTGTCTTTTTTTAAACAAACTTTAGAGTTCAATTTGTTTCATGCTTCAATTGGATAAAAATATTGGAGGGAAAACGTCAAAAATTTAATTTTTAATTAAGACACAAATTTCAGTGCAAAAAGGTCATATTAAATGTACTGTAGCGCCAAAAGAAGCATATTGACCCCAATTTTTTGATTTGATTTTTAATTAAGCTATGTATGTAGAAACTAAATTCAACTTGGCAAAAAAAGTTTAAGACTTTAAATATCAGGATCGAACGTCGTTAAATGTATGCCATGAAAATGCTGCATTTTTCACATTATGAACAGTTTAGCCTATGTACTAAGTGTCAAAGTCCTGTTTGAGTGATATATGTTTATGTGCATGTGTATCCAAGAACTTGATACAACTTAACAAATAATAAAGTTTTATTTTTCGTTATAATTCTTCAAACAAAGGAAACTTGCTTTAATTTTAATATTATAATATAATATAAAATGTTGTTTTCTTATCTCGTCTGTGATGTAAGGGGATGTATAATTAACAGCGTTGTCTGACACTTACACGTTACCGACTTTCCCTCAGGTGTTAATTATATTATCAGGTGCACCTTAAGGTAGGATTAACTTCATTTCAAAAAATTTTTATTCTTCTTAAATAACAAGACTTGAGTTGAATAAAAGCAGATGTCTCAAGCTTTCCTTTATAGTCATGTCCAAGATGGTCACTGTGTAAAATTTATACCATATTGTGTAGATTAAAATTTGTTCAGATCTGGTCTTTGAGAACAGGATGGAACCATAACAGGCATCAAAGTTTAACTTGTACATCCATAGAGGAAAAAAATTTCCTCAAAATAACTTGTGAACAAAATAAATAGAGCATCTCAAGAATTGTATTCAAATCTGTTCAAATTATGTCCCCATTGACTAAGGTGGGTCACAAGAAGAATCAGAATTTTACAAATATGTTAAGTGAAACAGCATTTAAAAATCATCTCAATAATAAAAATTTGACAATGTCAAATTAGTTTGAATACACATTAATTACATTCAAGCTTGTCAATATCAAAGCCTCCCACCCCTGCCATAAAAGGGAATGGATGTAAGGTTGTAAAGAGATTAAAAAATAGATTTTCTGTGCAAAATCAGCAGGGCATCATTTATAATCATTCTAAAATAAAAAAAAAAATGCATAAAAAATATTTAAACTTGTTCAAATCACTGCAATGCTATGTCAGGGATAAGTCACATTGAGGGAAGAAGGGAGGAAGCTTTTATTCTAAGAAGCATTGAAAATCTGACATTTGAAGAAGTAATAATTATACTTTTATGCATCTCAGTACCTGATTAAGATATAATAAGACACTTTTTTTATTTTTCAGTACCTGAATTATTTACGGAGTGAGGCGAGGGCTTTGATTATGTTTGCAGGTATGCTTCCCTACAGACTGCCTGGGGACACTAATGCTCGCTTGGTCCAGATTGAAGTGCTAATGAACTGATCACACATAATGACTCATTAGGTGCTTAATATTGTGTTGAAAGACATTAAAAACTTAATGAATTGTGAAGTTTCTTCTTCTTTATGAATAAGAAAGCAAAATTTTTCATAAATATCAAAGTTTTTAATTAAATGCTCTATTACTTATAGTTTTGTTGGATGATAAATGAATTTATTTCCAAGAATTGTTGACCTTATACTTGTGGGCTGTTCCTCTACCTTTTTTGATTAATTATATAACACAAAGGAAGTTATACTTTGTGTAGGAGAATTTTAAGTAGGAAATTATGTGTAGATGAAGATAATATTCACCCAGATTGATCTCCTTCTTCAATTTTTATTAGATTCAAACCACTTGAATTTCATATATAGAAGCTGGTCTTGGTTAAAAGAAACTATAAACTCAAGCTGACTGAACCTGTAAGGTGTTCATCTGCAGATGCACACCTGTTTTTATTTTAGATGCTCAATCTGACCTACATTTTATAGACCAGGTTATAGGTTCTGGAGCAGACCCACTCTCAGTAACTACCGGGCATTAGTCCTATGATAACTTAACAGGTAGTTCAAAGGGCTTCCTCTACAAGAATGTTTTCAGTACAGTATCTGACCTACATATTCCGCCTGGATTAGTAAACTGGTTAAACATTTTAGGCAGGTTCATTCCAGTGTAATTATAAGACCAATCTGGACCACACTTGCAAGGATGATGCATCTAGGAATGTAAACCTCAAGACTTGTTTCAGATGCTGAGTAACCAGGCTTAAAGTTTTGGAGGGAGTATTTTGTGAATAAACATGCATGAATAAAGCATCTACTATTGCACACAACTAGCCTTGTTTTGAATGCTGAATATAACCTACATTTTACAAATTAGTGATCAAGTCTATTGTTTTCAAACTTGCATGGATAATAAATACTTCCAGATATGGTTTGGATGTTCCTAAACTGAGGATGTGCATGCCCTTAATCCAGACTGTAAAGGAATTGGGAACCAAATTGGCCCAAGTACAGGAACATGGATATTTTATTCAAAGATCTGTTTCTACCTTGACCTCTAACCCATAATGGTTTAAGGTCACTGTGCACACTATAGTTTCGATGACGTATTGTCCAGATTGGGTCAAGAGACAAAATTCATTGACTGTCAACATGACAGCAACAGATACATTGGTTATAACCAAGTCACTGGGGCCTATGAAATTACTTAGCTATATCCATAAATCATTAAATACGTATAAGGAAAGTAATTTATATCACTGGGGATCCGGGATAACTTCGCTCTATCCATGAATTTGCAATATCCATGTTTGTACTAAACGAGTTTTACTGTACTTGTATTCACTTTGACCAGTAAAATTGAATCTTGGTTAAGACATCAGACCCAAGGCTCAAATGAATCCTTCTAAGGTCTTAAAGTTCTATTCTAAGTATACTAATGATATTAAAACTTCAAATTCAAAAAGAAGGTCACTGTGACCTACTTTTTAAAACACCCTGAGATTACATGAAGAACCAACTGACAAAAACATGTAATAATACATTGACAGTTTCTTGCCTGCAGAACAAGGCTTCTAAAATCATGAGGGGAAAATCTAAATTTTGGAAGAAATGACTGATGTGTTTTGAGATTGGCTGGGTTCAGATATGTCAATTGTAATGTTCATTTTAGGAAGTAATGGGAAAACAAACATGTATACTGAGAAAGATCATCAACATAGAATATCTTTGAAATGTCAGTTTAGTTTCAGCTTGATTATATAGGGCCAAAGATTTCATCACTTGATTCCTCATAAGGAAATGTTGCCCGCGTAGCACAGTGGTTAGAGCATATGCTCTGAGTCGCGAAGTAAGGAGTTGATCCTTACGTCAATGTGGGATGTGGAGACTGGTCCTTCGAATGAGACCATATAAACCGAGGTCCTGTGTCATAGTAAGTGCTGGCATGAAAAAGATCCCTCCCTGCTGAATGGCCCTGAGTGCCGAGCATAGGACAAAATTTGCAGCTCTCCACCAGCAAGTGGTGGCGTCTCCATATGAGTGAAAAATTCTCTAGATGGACCTTAAACAACATACAATCAATCAATCATTATAAGGAAATAAAGAAACATAAACAAGTTTCTGTACAGTTTATTTTAAATGCATGGAAAAAATTTCTTCCACGACATTTTCCACGTGACAAAAATAATTTGAAACATTAAATATTTCAATGTTTTAAAAAATTAGTAATTTGTTTTTATCCTGATACATTGCTGTACAACACTAAATACCAATGAACAGGGGTGCTGGGAAACTCCAGTTATAAAATATAAAGAGGAGGCACATGCCTTCACACAAGTAACATAACATGAGAACATTTAACAGTGGCTTAATAGATAAAAGAAGTATGCAGCACTATTAAAAATAATATTGCCTTTTTATTTGGATTTAAGACTAGGGAACAAATATCAAAGACAATACTTGAACCAATTCAATCAACATCAGCAAATGAGATTCAGAAACTCATTCTCTTAAATCATGTTCTTTGTCATTATGTTAATAAAAGTGTGATAAAAAAATACTCGGTCTTTTCACTACTGTTAAAAATCAAGACACAAATATCTTCTTACTTTGTTTGAAAACAACTAAACATAAATTACTACTTTATTATGTGAATTAAAACATGATTTCAGTTTAACCCATTTCTATACTGAAGTAAAGCAGTCTAGTGCAATACTTATCATCTAAAAAGTAGTCAAAACCTGAAAGACTGCCCCTTCAACATACTTTCAAAGTAAAATTATGCCATTTCATTTTTAAGACTGATGTTCAACTTCAGAGAGATGTATAGATAGTACTAATGTTTTTAGAAAACAAAAATATCATTGAAACAAAAACTTTCATTTGGAAACACAAAAAGATTCCAAGTTTATACTGACAGGGAATATGTTCTTGAAAAATTGCTATCAACTAAAAGAAAGTACTTTAGTGTTACAAGTTTTTGACTTGATTAATCTCCTAGAGTAATTCAGAAATGTAGATAATAGTAGCTTTAAGAAGAATAATTTAGAAGTAATTGTTGATTGGGTGACAGTTTGACTGTTAAGCAGGCTGTCTCTGTCCAAGTGTATGACGGCTCCACACACATCACAACATTCATAGAGGGCCGATGTACTGGCACTGGTGATCTCTATCTACACACTAAGGTGTCTCTTCTTGTGACAATTCTCTATCCACTGGCGTGAACCCACTATTGGATTCTGCACAGTGTTAATTTATAACATCTTTCTTTCCTCCTATCTTTTGACCACAATTAAGCACTATGTTAATATTGCAATCCACGCTGTTTTCATTTTACAACACACCACACCACGGTTCCCTTTTCACTTCTATCCATTTCTTTCACGTATCTCAACATGACAGCAACATTAAAATGATGCTCTCTCTTTATCCTGTGCCTTCACTTTGTAACTCTGTGATTATGTCCAACTAATACACATGCTCTGTTACGTTAGATCGAATTCGTGGACTTGTACCAAGGGAACGTTCACTTCGTCCACCTCAGGATTGGCATTATAGTCACATAAACCTAACTCCTTCATCTTCCACTCCCAGTCTAACTTCTGGATAGCATACAGTGAATCTGCCTCCATGTGATGTCTACACAATAGGTCCTCCTGTAATATAAAACATCCAATATTTGTATTAATTACTTTTTTTTCATCAACTGAGAGTTTTTTTTCACTGTTTTTCACTGTTTTAGTGTACCGTAATTTTCGGATAATAGGTCGATACTTTTTTTCTAAGAACCGCTGGGGTCGCCCAATATACGAATTTGACCTTTTTAAGGCTCAAGTTTACGAAAAAAGCCCCAAAATCCATAAAATTTACGTCAATTTCAAAACAAATCTATGCCATTTTCATAACTTTTTTCATTATTTTACGCAGAAAAATTAATGCCCAGGTAAAGAATAAAATATTTATTCTATAGCTTTCTTACAAAATAAATTCCATTAAATATCCATTGATGACAAAGGAAAAACTGTGCTTCATCAAGTAAATAATTCCTCAGCGTGTTATCCATCATGCGGTAGCCATCTTGTGAAGTTAGGAAGTCGCTACCGTTTACTAAATGTAAAACCGCAACCGTATCAAAATTTAAAATACGGAAAATTTTTCAAGATCACGATTACCGCTATACAAAGATTGGCTTCTAACAGAATTTTAATTGTCTGACAGATAAAAGGATTTACATTGTGTGTGCATGCAAATGTTTTAACGCCTGTGTTGATTTAATACCCGCAGGGCATGATTAGCAAATCCATAATGACTGTCAGATTGTGAATGTACCGGTACTCTCAATTAAATTTATAAATTAAACTTATAGCGTGGTAATATTATTTCAATTCTTTACTGTTGCTTTATATATACATTCAATGGTCGTTTGCGGGTTTTAGCAAATCCCCGAAGAACAAAAATGAAAATGGCGGACATTGAAGCAATTGTCGTCCACGGGTAAATAATGTCTGAATAAAATATATTAGGAATGTGTCCAAGTTGGTCTGAAATCAGAATTATTATTCTTTGATCTCGGGTATTTCCTGAATTATAGCTGTAAAATAAGAACGTATTTACGTGTTATTTATGCCTGTGGTTTAACAACAGTATGAAACTATGGAGGCATTGAACAGGCAAGTTGGAGAAAAATAAGTAGTAACACAATTCAAAGAAGTTTGAACTACATTTTTTAAAAAACTTTATTTAAATGCTGTACTCATTAAAATACCCGTTTGTTTTCTTGATACGTTCATGTCACGGAATTACCCCGGTAATTTTAGAGGTTTACCTGTTCTGATACGTTGTATCTACGTAAGAATCTTTAGAAAACGGGAAACAAAGCCTCGTCCTATATAGTAAGTTCGTCCTATCTTAGGATTTTTCAAAAATTAAGGCTGAAAATGAGCCTTTCGACCTATATACCCCATCGACCTATTATCTGAAAATTACGGTATATGTAATGGCTATTTTACCAAAATCTGGTTTAATAACTCTTTACCTTGAGTTTTTCAAACTTGTCATCTAGATCTTTTAACCAGGACAAAAATTGTCGTCCATTGTATCTGGCTCTCCCACCTTTCTCCTTCTCCTCCTACAAAACAATAATGTAAATTTAAACCAAAACCATCCTAGAGATTTCGAAATAAACAAAAATAATTTATAATCACACCACATCATCTAGCTTGAAGTTATTAAGGTTTCTATAAATAAGTACCTGCTCTGGTTCCATGGGGTGATAGATTTCCTCATTCCTCAGTATGGTACACACACTGAGAGGGAGGCTCTGATTGGCCATCGCCCGGGCTGCTCTACCATGCTCACGGATTCTCTCTTGTTCCAGTGATAAAATCAATTTCTCCTAAAATATAAAATTTCTAATTATTAAATTGTCCTTTGAAAAAATTATGAACATTGACATGAACACTGCAAAACTGATTGGCAAGAATTGGTATTTGGGAGGGCTATATCCCTTCATAAATAATTTTTCTATATGTGCAACAAAATTTCAACTGTAAATAAACTTAAGTAATCTGTTAATGTTTACCCTTTCTGTTAAATGTTGTAGCCTTAGCTTGTATCTGACTTTCTCCTGATTTATAAACAATTCTTTCATTTCCCCTTGCACTGCATTTGGAGGTGATAACTGCAAAAACAAAACACTTGTATTTGAATTCTCATCGTCCGCTAGTAATGCAAACTTAATCACTACTTTAAACATGGGAAACATGACCTCTTCCACTCACCATTGGTACGGAGAGGGTGCTGGCCTTCTTGCCTTCTAACACATAGCCACAGCTGACCATTAAGTAATCTTTGAAGCCTTGAGGAGCTTTAGGATAAACAACGGACAAATTGTTCTGCTGCTGGAGCACCTGCAAAGGGAATGTATAAATTTTATATCAACAGTATCATTTTGACTGTTTATAACTGTATACCCTTTCCAAAAGAAAGAAAACTTTAAATCTCATTTCCTCTGCAATTTTAGAAGACTCCAAAAATCTTTAGCTCATGTTCATTTACAAGGTAAAACTGTTAAAAAAGCATTATACTGTGAAATCATTTTCATTTGTGAGGGGTCCAATCTATGAACATTTGATTGCAATCAAAATTTTACTAATTCAGGTAGGACATAAGTACACATACAAGTACATGTAATTAAATCTGGGGTAAGGGTAAGGGTGACCTATGAAATTGATGAATATTGATCTCTTAAGAGCAAATGATGATTCTAAAGAAAATCTGTGGCTGTAACAAGATGTACTGAAATACTTCTTGCTTGATATTTAGCTCATTTTTCTGATGTTTATCAGACTGAAGATAATTTTGCTCTTATTCCTTATCACCTTGTAAGAAGTCTGTACTATTTCCAACTTATCACCTTGTTACAAATACTTATCACCTTGTTACAAATCAAACAAAAAAAGTAATCAATTACTCTGCTCTGTGTACTTTAAGATGTTTTCCTCAGTACAAACTTACCTGTTTTCTGATTGATAAATACAATTCAAATGGATTAGGTGGCTTCTCATAGGACACAGTGGGCAGTGTGATTGTAGGCTCAGAGGGGGGCGGGGGAGCGGTGTCAGACTTTGGACGTAAACCCTTCCGTTTCCGTGGCAATGTGTGGACATCCTCATCCTCCGCTTTACTTTTAGTCGTACTTCCTGTCTCGTCTTTGTCAGATGATTCTTTACTTCCTACAAAATCAAGACAACTGTCCAATCTTTTTTTTTAACTTAAATTTTAAACCATGATGCTATGAAATATCAATCAAGACAAGGTACTTGTTCATGTCTCTCTTCAGTCTCCTGCACTATGATATAAACTATATATCAAGGTACTGGTCATGTATTTTCTAATACATTGTACTACTACTACATACAGTACATTTCCGCATCAAATTATAAATAATTCTTGTAGATTGTTGATCAATTTTCAAAATCTATCAGTTAATTTGTAATCTATTATTAAATATTTCAATTCTCACTTTACAAAAGTTGTTTCCCTTTGTGGGATCAACCAAAAGGTCAATAGTTTTTTTCTTCTTTACACAACAAATATTTGGGTAATGCTGCAATATACAGATTTACATTTTTTCCTTTTAATGAATGGGTTGCCTGAAACAATCAAACTACAACATCCAACAATTATTTCTTAAGTCAAATGTTAATTCTGGAAGTTATGAAGACAAATGTGAGAGTTTTGTTGTATAAGGTTTTTTTCCCAAAAAAAATGGTAGCAATTGAAAAGTGAACAAGAGATATAACTTGGAAAATAAAGATTCAACTACCGGTGTATACAATCAGATTTGGTTAAATACATTAGGCCATTAATCTATGATACAGTTACTCAAGTTTAACACTGTAACATTGATTTTTATGGACATACTGAATTTTCATGTTGAAAAAAGAAATCTGAGTTGTTCCCCTTTTCAAATATTATCTCTTGTTTTAATATAAATATAGTATTTTTATGAATAAACTTTTATACTAATGTTTCAAGTAGAGTAAATATCATAATTAAAAGAGAACCAAGAAATATGATATAAATGATATCATTTGTTGAAATATAAAATTGGATTGGCAAGATAAAAGATAACACTAAACCTGCTCCCAAAAAAAACTGCCTTTCTTAATTTTTGCCGAGAAACTTTGATTCATTTTTTGGTCTTAAATAAAAATGCTGAGGCATGCCATATAGTGTGATATATTTTTGTTCAAATCCCATATCTGAATTCAGTAAGAAGTTGAGATTACCTGAATCTTTCTCCTTGTCCTTGGGAGGTGGCCTGCCCTGTTTCTGTTTCTCCTGCTGCAGTGCCTGCGTATGGGATCGTAACGTCCGCCTCGTCTGCTGCGTCTCCTTTTCCTTCTCGTCGTCCTGTCCTTTTTCCTTTCCCTCTTTTTCTCTCTCCTTGACCTTTGAACTGTTGTCTCTTTCCTTACTTTCTTTTGATGAAGAAATCTCCTCTGATTTTTGATCACTTTCTACATTAACTTGAGAGTCTATAGGTGCCTCTTTTGAGTCCTTTTCTTTTGAATCTTTTCCAGAATATTTTTCACCATCCTTTGACACTGCAGCACAACCACTGGATGAGGATCGCGAGGAGGCGGGGCTTGCTACCGGCTGGGATTCCTGTGGAGTGGCCAGGCTGGTCACATTGTTCTGAGGTAGCAGTCCCCCTGCCTGCTGTTCCTGAGTGGGATTTAACACATAAGGGAGAGATTTCTTGGAGGTGTGAATTTTTGCTGACTCAGGGTCCTGACTTATTGCTGATGATGTTTTTGGAGGGATGATGATTTTCAAAGGGGGCACCTTGGGTGAACAGGGCTTGCTGTCTCTTGGTGAGGACTTAAAGTCTCTGCCCTCTATTCGTACAGGAGAGCTATTCCGATTTGAGTCAGACCTTCCAGAATGATTGCTGCCTTCCTCACTTTTGGGTGAAGCTGTAGATCGAAGGTCCCACTTTAGTCCACTTGAACTAACACTAGAATTTGGCAGGTCATTTGAATTCCCATTGTTGGCACTGTTTGTCACAAAATTGTTTGAACTACTAATACTATTTCTTCGAGGAATATTTGAGCTATTTTGCAGAAAGCTTTGTTCATTATTAGAACTACTTGATACACTGTTGTTTTCCCCACTACTTCCGGACTTCCCGGTTGTAGTGGAGGTACATGAATTTAGTACTGAACTGACAACATTGTTACGCTGAACATCTGAAGACGCCGATTCTTTTAATCGAGAAAGACTGGAGTCTACGGAGGGAATGCGAGTCCTATCACTATCACCATACATTTTAAAAGAATCTCTTGATTCACTATCACTAAAACTTTCACTATGCGGGAAAAATGGCTGCGTCTCTGAAACTTTTAACTTGTACTTTTGTGCTGAATTTTCCACACCCTGACTGTCAGGTTCCAGATTATTTAATCTGTTAAATCCTCCCATATCAAACCCACTGACATCTGATGAGGAGAATGGTAATTTAACTTTGGATGCTGGAGATTCTGTACTGGAGGTACCAGTTTCCTCTGTATTTCCTGGCTTGGATTTGAACCTATCACTCTGTAACTGGGGGTCATAAAGGTCACTCCCGCTGGAGGCGGGGCTATCACACCCAAACAGAGTGTCCTTGTTTTCACTAGTCTCCACATGACAACTGTAAAAGTCAGGAGATTTATCACTTTGTTCATCTATCTGTTCTCTCTGGAACTTGATGAAGATGCTTTTGCGGCTACTTGGTCCCAAATTTGCATTGTTAGAGTCTGATTTAGGATTTCTGGGTGTAAAGACTAAAAAAAATAATAGAACTGATAATTTGAATCATTGCCTTGGAAAAATCATTAATATAAAATATTTGTTTATATTTCTATTTGCATTTACAATTTTGCAAGGAGGAAAGATTAACAGAACCTTATGAATATGTACTGAATAACAAGAGATGTTTGTAAAACACTTATGCCCCCCTCCCTCCAAATTTGAATTTTTTCCAAGTCCAAAAGGGCATAACTCTGTCTACAATGGTGCAATCCTACCCAACACAAAACCTGACCTAGAAATTCAGCTGAAAAATCTGTATACTAAATTTCATTTCAATATGTGTAACCTTTGTAGAGAAAATGAACTGAAACTGCAAATAAGTGGAATTCTTTATAAGTCCAAGGGACATAACTCTGTCAATAAAGTTAGTGCCCCGCCACAGCATGATACGCCCGTCAAATATTGTTCAATAATAATCATAAATTGGTTAGGGTGCAAGAAAATCAGGTAGCCTTGATTAACAGATAGACACAAATTTCAATGATTTAATTTCCATTTCTTATCATGTTTAAAATATTGTACATACATCTCTAGGAGACTTACAGTGTAGGGATTAAATATAACAAATAATACATCATATAATTCTAAACTGGACTACAGCCATCAAGAACTCTTAATTAACACAAGCAACTATGAGGCCATTTCTTTTTGCCCAACTCCCAAAAGATAAATTAAGCAGCTGCATGATCAGATCTAGAGATTACCAGTTAGCTTCTGACGATAAACTCATTAATTTCTCTCTAATTTGACATGCGCATTTCTGCTATCAAAATTCTTCTTGACCAGTGCTTGATAATTATGCCCATGGGACAAACTGAATTCCTCTCAAAACATTGACATTTGTTACAGATTCCTGTAAAGTATATGATGAAAAAATATGTTTTTACTTAATTTAACATTTTTTAATAAGGATACAACTATATTTTTACATTTTTTAGGATTATGAAATTTAAAATTTAAAAGACTTAAATTTTTTTAAAAATTCACTTAAATTAAAGGTCACAGTGACCTTGAAATAGGCCGCGACACACCTTCTACTTTAGATGTATACTTTTGCCAAGTTTGAAAGCTTTGTGTATAAATACATGTAACAGGTGTGAAATTCTCCCAACTTCATCAAGGAGCCATCATCAAACCTTTTGGGAATCAAGGTCTTTTCTCTCCAAAATTTTATCATTATTTATTGTTCCTATGGGTATCTTGAACACTAATATAGGGTGCATGCATTGACATGTAAAAACTATTTCTTTTAAATGCAAGATTGAATTTGTTGTAGCTAATGAAACATTCTTCATTTTCTTTCTTCTTGACTTTAAATTCATTACATTGTTTTTATTACATTGAAAATATGAATTTGAACTGTTTGTCATCTTTGTGTGACATGACACTGTAAATTGACTGTTAAAAAAAACCCATATAAATACACTATAACATAAAAAATCAAATTAATTTTACTATTAACTATCATATCCTTTTTTTTTTTAAAGGCTGGTAAATAAATGTTTTGACAGGCAATAAATTACAATTAAGAGAATTAGAGAAGAGAGATCTTTCCTTCTGTTGTCAAATTCTCAGGAGATATAGATAACACATGATCAGAGATGCCCAACTTCCCACACTAAGTTCATTAATTATCTTTAACTGGATACATGTCCACTCATATCTCCTTAAGGACAAATGGATAGATTATAATTGGAATTTTTCTAAGTTTAAAGGGCATAACTCTGTAAAAAATGGCACGATCGTACCCAAAACAGAACTTGGCCTAGATATTCTTCTGATAAATCTGTATACCAAATTTCATTTCAGTATGGGCAACGGTTGTGAAGAAAATGAACGGAAACTAAGTGGACCGACAGACCGACGGACAGCAGCAAAGCAATATGCCCTCCCTTCTTCGAAGGGGGGCATAATAACATGATCCTTAATTCACAAAGTAAATATCACTCTTTCCGGATAACATAAATATGTAAAAGTTAATACTGACTATCCATATCATCGTCCTTGCAGGAGGAGTTACTCTCGGGAGAGGTTGGGGAGCGGGCGTCGTCCAGACTAGAACTGTCACTACTGGAGGCGATGATTTCCTTCCTCAGCAGCTTGACCATGTCCTGAGAGGCCGCCACGTCCACTGGGGTCTTCCCTTTACTGTTAGGCTGGAGGGGGTTGGCACCGTGCTTCAATAGCAGCTCCACCAACTGTCAGACAAAATAAATCATGGGTTATATCCTGTCATAAACTGTCAGACAAAACAATAATGGTTACATCTTGTGATAGACAAAATGTAAGACTTCCCATCTAAAAATTAACATACTATGCAACACTTAATTATAATATTTTAAGTGTTTGACTGCAAATTATTCATTTTTTTCCTTTTAAAGTCTTGTACCAATCTGAAGTCCTAAATGCTATGTACATAGAATCTATTTTTTTTTCTTTAGATCTCTCTGACTAACCTCAGTATGACCGTTTCCTGAAGCATCATGAAGGGGCGTGTCGTTCTCCAGTCCCTGCACATTCACATTGGCTCCAGCCTTTAGAAGTTGCTTAGTAACAGACACCCAGCCTTTGTTTGAAGCTTCATGAAGTGGTGTCCAACCTATTATTCATAAAAATATATTCATCATGCAGTGTACATGTAACAATTTTAGTGTACGTGGAGTAAGTTTTTACCAACTGGCAAATTTAACATTTTTTCCTAAATGTTTAAATTTAAAACTTTTTTTTTTAAATATAGCAGTTTAAATACAGCAATCTTAAGGATATCTCTATCTCTGATATAAAATTAGATGATTAATAAATTTACTATATATGGTAAAATTTTTCTTTCTGCATCTGGTATTATGTAGCGTTCCAAGATCTTTACACTTTTGTCCTTATATTCATGGAATTAAAAGTGAATTGATTTTTAAATCTCTATATTTATACCAGTTTTACCCACATATTTACATGAAAAAACATTCTCAAAATACAGGCTGAATATAATCTCATTTTCTCAAAATGACACAACTGAATCTGCTTATTCTGTTGAAATTCTATGTAATCTGTGTCTTTTCTGTCTCTTTATTTACACATGTTCATTTTTCAGTATTCCTTGTACGTAGACAGGTACATGTACAAAAGAATGCTATACCAGACAACTTGTTGAGCCTTTGTGCTTCACTATGACGTAAGAGATCATAAAACAAGGTTAACACCTGATTACCAAACAGGTAGGGAGTGTCATAAAAAGAAAATCAATACACAGTCACATTAATATCATGTCTCCGCAGAAAACAGCAAAAATTTGACAGGATTGGGGATTCCTTCTTTTTTTGGTTTTATTATCCCTATTTTTTTTTCTTACTGAGAATCAACCAGATAAATCCTAATTTGATATTCTGAGAAACCCTAGTTCATGACAGGTTGGCAGATCAATGAAGTTTTGTGAGAAATCTGCTTCCAGACAAGGGGCCCTACAGATAAGAAAGCTGGCTTCCTCTGTCTCTCGACCTCTAGCGGGGTGAATCACAAATCAATACCCTACCAATCAGACTGAACGGTGACAAGGTCAAATCTGGTCTCCTACAAGCCAGCCAAACACAATACCACTGCATTCAAAATCAGCCTGGCCTCTAACAAGCCAGAATCAATGCACAAATCTTATTCCCTAGTCATTCAAAGGATATTAGAGAACGTGCTTTAACCAGCTAGAAGAAAATTATTCCTGGCATTTTGTTGATACTGGTAGCCTAGTATTGAGCATGTGCTTAATTTCGTAAAGAATTTTCTTTCTTTCTTTTTTCTCATTACATTTGAAAAACATTCAACTTTATTAACCTACATTTCCTATTACATGAGAACAAGCATTTCTTCAACTAGAATAATTCATACAGTGTGAGAGTTATTACCCCAATTCTTCCTTCCTCGAAATCTGACTAAAGCAATAGCATCAGTATTGAAGGCCTAACTACCCACAGGAATAAAATAAAAAACACCCTGTCATTAGTCATATAGAGTAGAGACATCAGTGTTTTCATCAATATCACTCCACCTAACCTAATTTACATGACTTCATGCAGTACATAATCTAGATTATTCCCAGTGAGCAAAGCATAGAGGGATTCCATCAAAAATTAATACAAGTGTACTCTACAAAGCACAATCTATAATTAACGTTTTTAAAATACCCAGCAAATCTATCAATTATTTACCAATGCAGTCAATAAGTCTGATTTGTTTTTTGCAAGAAACATTGACAACACTGTTCCCAAGAGCCACATTCACAGGAAACACCCATTGCATACAAATCTATACCCAGATCATGACTGCACTAGTTGTTTTTTTCATGACTTTTACCTGCAAAGTCCGCTACATTGACATCCGCCCCGGCCTTGATCAACTTCTTTATTTGCTTGACGTCGCCCTTGATAGCTGCTAGGTGGAGGGGTGTTTCACCTCGCTCGTTTCTCTTATGGACCTTCTTGTCCCCAGGGGTCTTCTTTACAGGGGGAGCTGAGGGCTGTGGTGAAGTGGGCTTAGACGATGAGTCTACAACATAAATTATATATACAGGAAGTATACCACTTACAGGCAACATACTTCACAATCAACATTCAAAAGAAAATAAATTAAACATTATAAAACTTAATAAAGTTTCCTTCTAATACATATTTTATTTTTAAACTGTTGTTGATTAAAAGGGACCAGGAGACATTGAGGACATGGAAATGTACATGTACTAATCACCATCTTATATAGAGCATTAGTCAGGTCAGGTCAGTGCAGTCACATGCAGATAACATTGAATCAGATCAAGGTCAAACATAAATGTGTCCACCAGGGTCATCAGTACTGTAATACTTATACCATTTATAAAATGACAAGTCACTGCTTACTTTAATCCCCGAAAGTCATTTTGTTCATAGAATGTTTTATATGAAGTACTTTTTATATCATCCATAAAATGACAGTTCAATGCTTTTAAATGCAGTAATTGAAAGCCATTTATGTTAAAGCATCTGATACTATTCATGAAATGACAATTCATTGCTTATTCTAATGCAGTTAAGTCATATATTTTAAAAAATTTTTTTTTACAAGGAAATAAAAAATAATTATATCAGAAAGAAACATCTGCCTCCACAAATCTGTGTCAAAGCTAATGTTCACTGTCTAATTACGTCTGGTCCATCGTGTATATATGAGTAATGAATAGGTAATGCATTTACTAATGTCAAGCTTGCCATTAGATCCATAAATACCCAAGAAATCTATAGAGGGACCAGTAGCTAGATCAGGGCTTTGTCAGGCAATATTATCTTCTGATACAGTGTATGTAAACTCAATTATTGATCCAACTCCTACATATATCTATACCCATAGCCATTTCTAATTAACAAGCACCGCCAACAGGCAAATCACTACAATGACAAGGCATTTCACACATGCTGAACAAGTCATGCCTGTCATGCTTTTATGGTTCAATCCAGAAATTATTCTAACATGAAAAACAATGTTTGTTCACAAGGTTTTGTGATAACTACTTTGACTTTTCATTTTGTGACAATTTAAAGGTAATTGCTTGCTTGTCAAACATTGAATGAGTGGTTACTTCCTGATATACCATTCTGAGGTTATTTTTGTTCTTCTATGAATAACAGGTACTCATATCCTGTATGTACAGAAATTGTAATCAGATGTTGGTGGTAATTAAAATGGCTGTTTACTTTATTTCTTTCCTGTAATCCAATTATATTTCCCAAGTTCTTCTATTCTTATAACAAATGGTGAAAATTAAACACTTTTTTCCCCATTCACTCCAGGTTTTCTATCTACTTTGAAACTTAACTCTGTAACGTGTTTACTTAGTCATATCAAGTGTTTACATCACAACTACTGTTACGGTGACAAGCCAGTGGTAACAATTCAGGTGTAAATTTACATAATCCATATTGCTAACAATAAGCCATTTATCTTACAAAGTCTGCTTACTTTCCAATTTCTCCCAGTACCTTCACATGCCAAAAACCAATTTAATTGTTCTACATTCTAAACGTTAAAAAAAACAATTTCAGAATAGGTACCTTGAGAGTCATCAGTCATCTTCATAAGAAATAACATCTGTTGTCTCTCAGATAGGGGCCCTGTTCGAGGGGAGGTAATCCCACTACTGGGGGCCTTAGAGACAGGGGTGGATCCATGGTGGGTGGGGGACATCTCAGAATTTAACAGGGGTTTCTTCCGTTTAGGTGTGGTCTTGCGGTCGTCTTCATCAAGTTGTGGTGGCGAATCAGATACAAGGAATTTACGTTTCAATGGCTTGCTTTCTGATTGTGGGGTTCTTATGAGTAATGGCTTCTCCTGCTTTAAAATAAAGAAAAAGTATTCAGTTTATTGATAAAGAACTAAAGGTTTGAAGCACCCACCCCTTTTCTTTTTGATTATATACCCTGTGTATGACATACTATGAACACATTTTGACAGGCTCTGTCTTGGTTTAACATATTAGTGAAGTGAACTTAATGCTTCAAATGCAGGATTAAATCATTTTATTCCAGATGATTCAAGAACTTTCATCCTGTTTCTATATTCAGCATGTGCCCTTATTTTCACATGGCCTACATTATAATGTCATTTTCTGTTCTGTTTGATCTTCCTATTTACTCTATCGAACTGAATTAATGCACAGCATATTATGACTTTATATGGAGAATCTTTTCAGCTGAAACCTTGCTTTCACTTTTTGTGTTAAACTGCCTGTATTTAAAAAAAAAAAAAAACAACTGTTCGAGAAAACTATGCACATACAGCCTGGGTATTATCGTTTTACAGCCAGCACTTGCTGACATCCTAGATATTTCCGCTGCGTTACCAAGGGAGACATTGCCTCAGATTAACCCTCGGACAAAAGTGCAAAAGAAGCCGTTCCCTGAATTTATTAAACAAAGAAATCACCTTAATGTCAACAACACACCTGCCACTGGATAATGAAAGTCTGTCTGGAACAGACATTTGTGCCTAACTTAAAGTTACACAATCAGTAATAGGACCAGATCTACCTTGAACCATATAGAATTGAAATTTTATCAATAATAACTTGTATTGCCTGGAATTTTATCTTATTTCTGTAAAAATAACTTTGCAGTGTAATGGTAAATCTTCACTACACAGAAATGTATATATTCTCTGCCTCTACAGACAGCTGGGGTATTTAATGGTGCACATTTTTCTTTGTTTCTTCACATACCATGGCCGTATTTCTGACCTCTCGCCGGCTGTCGTGTGGCTTTACATGGTGGTACATTCTAGGTTTATCATGGCTTATGTCCAGCTGATAATGCGAGGGACCCTGCAGTAATGCCTGCATGATGGTCAGCGACACAAAATGTCCATTCTACAGACAGACAGACAGAACGGAAAACTAATGCAGAATAATCTTCTTCAGCCAAAACCCTCTTAATGTTCCTCTTTGTTCACAGTTAGAGAGTCTTATTTGGTCGGTTCACTTGCACTGATAAGTTGATAACAATACAGATTCCTGAAAATTTATACTTTCACAATTTACATGTGTTCTGAATAATGAAATTAAGTCACAATAGTCACACAGTGGAATATATATCCAATTTTTCAGCTGACATCACAGAGTAACCAGTTATGATATTTCTGCCTTTATGAATCTGATGAGCCCAGGTAATTGTTGTTTGTAATGACATAGACACATGTACACACAAAATCACACAATTTCAATGGGTGTAGAACTGTCACAATAAAGCACAGCCATTTATCATAAATCCAGAGATATTTGTCAAGCGTTCACTGTCACAAACACACACCTTTTTTTATACACAGGTAACCACGTGAACTTGGGAACTAGCTGGAATTACCACCACAGCTCCAGTGCAAACCAATAAGTCAGTATTAAATGTCACCCATCATCAAAGATTCCTAGTCTTCAATAATGACTCACTTCTTCAACAGCAAACAGAGCTACTGCACTACATCTGCCTACCAGCAACTGGAAGGGCTATCTGATACTGGGGAATCTGCTGGATTTGCTGTAAATACTGTTAGGTCTAACTGCATCACAATCAATCCTGTATCAATTCAATGCCCAAACTTTTTTTATTCCCACAGACAATTCTAGAACACTAGCCTGTGTTTAATGGCTTCCTGAAACCTAAAGGGTCAAGTCATCTGTGACAAAGTTGGTTTTTGTGACACATGTTTACATCTCAATGACTCCCTTATTCATGCTGTTTTCTTTCAAAAGTTTTCACTCTACAAACCTCCTGTACAGAGCAAGACCTTATGTTTGTGTAATAACATTCATAAAGTTGGGTTTGAAAACATAAATGTATGTAAATCAATCATGAATCAACATTGACTGTATTGAAAAGATCTCATCCTGCCCTGGTGTTCAACTTCTTACAAACACAATGCCTGTTTTTGTGATGAATTCTCAGTTAACATTTCAACACGCACTGTTAATTCAGCTCTATTTCTGCCCCTGTCTTTTACACAAGGAATGTGCTTCTAGGCATATCTGCACATGACAGTATAACCTTGGAAAACCCCAGAATATGGCAGACTTGGGTAATAAACACTTGAATAGGCCTTTAATTTACATAAAGGCTTACACAAAACCATACACATAAGTAAGAAAGTGTACTCTATAATGACCTCTGAAAATCCTTTCTTTGAAGGTAACTTGACCTCTTCACACAGGAGTGCAGATTTTGTAAAATATCTATCTCTCTAGGCTAATCTCTTTATTAATGTGTAACATGGCCAGCAATTACCAAAGTAGTTTAAACACCTTTTTAGTATGTACATGTATACCTAAGTTATGGCCTGTGTACAAAAATGTCTTTAAAAACACTTACATCATTAAAATCTTACAGTAACTGTACTATTGTAATATGTATTGATTTTCTTGTGAACTTCTTACACCCATCTTTTCTGATGTTCCAAATTTTGTATTAAATGTGCATTTTTGTACGAAACATGCAAATAACCATGATGATACTGAAAACCTAGTTGCTGTGTTGCTAGTAGGGCTTTTTCATTGTCTGTATGGCTATTTACAAAAGGCAAATTTTCTCTGCCAACTCTGGTTTGCACTTAGAAACGTCCCTATAGTTACCTTTTGAGGAGGCGATTTCTTTTCAGACATGTCCGATGATGACGACACAATAGGTTGTAATGAAGGCATGCAGGCATCACATCTGTGAGGTATGTCATGTGACCAGACCAATAAATTCTTCAGGGATTGTCCAAAAGTTCAAGATCTTTTCTAACACACTTGTCATCTTCAAAAAAAGAGAAAGAAAACTTAATACATCAGTGTTATATTGATAAAAAGATTCATGCATTCCAGTCCATTGTAGTACCTAATAGAACAAATGGTCACAATGTTGTTCCTTGCACCAGCTGAATTCCATATACATGTTTTATGGATTTCACTGTAAAAGCAATGCACTAGGTTCTTCTTACTTTATAATTATAATGAGTAATCAAGACAACATGAATGTCATAATTTAAAGTTTCTTTTTAATTGTCAGTATTTGTACATTGACAACATGTACATTTAATAAGAGACAATTCAGAAATATGGACTTTTTTTACCACAGCTTCTGATTTTTTCAGATCTAAATTCTTAATATGAATAATATCTTCATTTACTGGCTGAATACCTGTGTGTATCTATACATATAGTTAAATGCGCAGATAAAATATGACCTGAAATGCAAAATGTCCTACTTAACCTGTCAGAAGGGAATTTAAATTGGAAATGATGAGGCATGTTATACAACATAAAGCTAAAACATGCCAACCCAGTCAAAATTATTCATTCATACTCGAAAACATGCTACACATTCGGTACAAAGGATGCACGCAAGCTGAACATTATTGGGAGGTATTTTCATCTGGAGATATATATACAACACATGCCAGAATATTCTACACAGGCTATATCGAGGTTAGCCTGGTAATACCTCATTGAAACATCTGTTTATATCAGACATTGTATATGCCCAGTCAAAGCAGTTGTATGTGTGTATGTGGGTCAAATCGTCCATCAAAGGAAGGCCCAGCAATACTGACATGCCTAATGGATGGAGTGTGGGACAACATAAAATCAATATTAATTATTCACAAAACTCAGTCTCTATGCTAAATATATACAAAATGGTGGAAACTACTTGTAGGCCTGGATAACAATAACAGAACAATAAAAATCACGGGGTCATGATCCTGTCTGTGAATTTATGTACAATACATATGTAATAGCAATCATTTAAATGCATAGCAAAGAAACTCTCTTCAACTGAGACACATGATACTAAATATAGATTTTCATTTTTTGGTTTAACATTCGAATTCACTATATTGATTTCTTAAAATATCCAACAAGACTTGCCATGGAGTTAACAAATGGGGTTTGCTATTTTTGCAGTGTTAAATGTAAACAAGATTGCCCGAGTGCATTTCAACATTCTTTAAATGTTCACCATACAATGTCTATTTCCCCATTTAAACCACAACATTTCTAGAAAACTCTATGTCTTCATTGTCAAATGTGATTTGTTGACTGATTTTCTTAAACAAAAAACAATTGTAAAATAAAATTCTCAAAGACTTTGACTAGCAATTAGCCCAGAACAAAGAATTCATTGTCATGTTACAAGACACACAAATTCTTGTTCCATGATAGAGGACAGAATTAATATCGGAGCAATGATCCGCAGTATTACGCCATATTTAGTTCTCCTTATCGTCTAACGACAAAGAGGGGACATTATTGACTGCTAATGGCACCACACCTTTAATTGCATTCAAAACCACTCTATGGAGACCTCATTAACTAGAAGGCATGACTGGCATGTACACCTGTATCAATATTCAATACATTTCATCACGTTCATCTGTTTCTACCTCTGAAAATGATGATGCAAGGTTCAAATCGGACACTCACATCATACAAGCTAGGTTTCTCCTGTTTTTAGGACATTTTAAAATACAAAAAAAAATTTCAGGTACATCAACACATAAATGTATGTATATTGAAAGGGAGACATTAATAATTCATGCAAGGTCACACTAATGTATTCTGAAAAACATGTCATTAATTCTACAATACATCAAAAACCCATGACATCTCAAAAACTGCTGTAAGGCAAGCTTAAGATGGCTGTTTACAAAGGAAGCTTTATCCACTCTGTTCATAATATTAACAACATTGATAGATTCTAATCTAATGGAGCCAGTTGGAGTAAAAATTTTACAGTCTCAAACAAATTAACAAAAAGTCACAAAACAGCAAAACAAGCATTAAAAAGTGCCTGGCGTGGGCAATTTTGCTCTGATATACTTCTAAGCAAAATTTGTAACATATACATGTTAAGTTTACAATACATACATGTATATACTTTTAAGTCCAGGGGAACAATGGGAATAAAAATGAACTTGCTCTAAGTGTCAAATCATTATAAGCATGTTTCCCATATAAAGAGTGCTTGACTATACTAAGTTGTCTGAGGTGTCATTCCTAGCTATAAATACGGCCGGACATGTTCTTGATGTTCAAGGTGTATATGTATATTTGTATAACCTAACCTTGCAAGAGAGCCCTGTATACATTGCAAATACATTTGAAAGGAATTCATGTCTGAAAAAGTAACAAAGTAGATACTTTATCTGTATTCATCTGTATTCAAAGCGATATATAGTTTATTCAGAATTCTTTGAGCAAGAGAGACATGTTATTTGGATATAAATACAATGTCTGTTTTTCATTGGTGTAGAAAATCAATTTTATAAAAAGTCAACTTGTGATTGATAAAAAATGGAAGTAAACTTATCTTAATACTGAGGGTAAATCAATATCTGTCAAAATATACCAGAAATATTATATTTTAAACAAGACTAGGAAATTAATATCATCTCACTCTGACAGGATCAAAAAAGTAATAAACAGATGGGCTATTTTAAATGTTTCATGGAAACAGATGTATGTTTCGTATTACATGAATCAATCTGCATAAAAAACACATATGGTAGTATATAAAAGATCATACACATTATTTAATTAAAAGGAAAATCTATGTTTTTATAGATGATACAAAACGTAACTACAACCATTTTCATATTAAGAACATTGATGTATGTTCAATGTGTTAGGAAGTAAGTGTGCATCAACTGAAACAAGAGTCTTAGAGAATTGTAGGTACATTATCACATAGATATTAAGATGCCAAATCTTGGTTAACCGTGCCAGATGATGCAAAATAAACTTTTTAGATGCTAGCATCTTTTTAGTGTGCTAGCATCACTGGATGAAATCAGGGATCTTGATTAGAATAGCTTATAACTGGGTTGTTGCATGGCCTATTCCCAATACAATATAGGTAGCTTATTTCTCAGGTGAATGGAATTATTTTCTCATTATTGTCATTACTAGTGATAAAGACACTAAAAATCCTGAAATGAGATTCCTTTACAAAAAAAAAAAAAATCAATTTATTTTTCTCAATTTTGCTGAGTCTGCTCAAAATTTTCTTAATTTTAATGGATCCACTCCTAGCTCCATAGGCATAAAACTCAAACGAGCTCACTTTTGATCTTAATTTCACTTTTTCAAAAGGTGGGAAAATGAGACTTAGATCAAAAGTGAGCTCAATCAATCAGCTCATCTCAGTTTTATGGCCCCACAGCCTGCGCTAAAAAAGTGTGAGAGCCCTATTGTTTATTCTTTAATTCCAGACCACTATGTCATGTATAAAGGGTGACTCATATGATAGTATGTCCCACAATCCTTTATTTACATTGAGTAGTGCATGTACAACTTTAGTCCATTATTTACACAATGAGTTAACTTTTGTCCACAGATTTTTCACTTTTACCCGATCATGACAAGGTGCACATGGTGGGTGTGACCAGTCGGCAGGGGATGCACATTCATCCATGGCACCTAATCCCACCTCTAATGTTTTGGAGGTCCGTGTTTGTTCTGCTCCTTTATTCTGGTAATGTTTAATGGACTTTTGAGCTCGAATACTGTTTGTTATCTCCAGATATTTCACACTATCATAGGATATGACTTTGTTTGTATTAATGACTATCACCAGTTCTTTGTACACAATCTTCAAAAACAAAGTAAATAAACATGTCTAGGTATAACTTTCCTGTCATTCTTTACATGATTATCAAAATGAGATTAAACCGATCATGTATATAAGTAAACATGTGTAAGGCGGCAAGAAACAATGTGATATTGTGAATTACAAAGATGATTCAGCAGAAATCATTTATCCTTTTCTTAAAAAGTAATATTTTGCATGATTATTGGGGGAAGGGGTCCCTCTCCTGAAAGAAAAAAATGCTTTTCCTTTGTGCCATACATCTTACTTGTATGTATATACATCTTAATTTGCATACAGTGAAATGGTCAAACCATGTGCATATGTGCTTATTTCAAATACCATTCAAAATTCAATTTTCTCAAACTGAAATAATTAAAATA